CACTTATTTCTTCCATCCACTTTAGGTAATTTTTCCCGTTTGTGTGCTTCTACCTTCAGAGCAGTCCTGTGACTGAAAAGGTAGAAGTTGTGCTGATAGATTGTGTTGAGCTTATTTTTGTGCATACAAGTACTCTGTGATGTAAGAGAAATTAATGTCAAGGCATGAGATGCTATGTTCCAAATCTTTCCTACTAGGGTAATGCACTTAGAGATGTCAGTTAAGAGACAACAAAACAGCTGGTTTTTTTCCCCCCATTTTATGATCTAAAGGAACAAATTAGGATCTCTCCTGCAGATTCTCCAGTTTTTCCATAATGGAATGCTCTGTATTGGGGCAAGATAGACAAAGACATTATTTGATTAAATAAAGGGTTCTGTTTAAAATAAATGATATGTCTTCAGATTATTATTTGAAGACTTTCAGAAAAAAATAGTAATTCTTGTCACAAAGTTTTTGTCTTCAGCAGACTTGGGAGTTAATTGAGAAGATGGGGTCAGACTCTTGTTGGAGGTGCATTGTGAAAGGGTGAAGTATTGGAAGTGATGATTGAATACTTAAGAAATTTTTTTTCATGCAGTATATTGCTATAGGTTGTTATAGGTTGCCTGGAGAGGCTGTAGAATATATATCCTTAAAGGTACTAAAAGCTTGGCAGGTTGTCATCCTAACCAACCTGATCAAAAAGATGGCTTCAGCTTTGGAGTTGGCTGTACTTTGAGCAAGATTGGACCAGGTAGCTCACCTCTAGATGGTGCTTACATCCATCAATAATATATGATCTCTCTTAGTTCAAATTTCTAAGTAACAGGAATTGAGAATTCACATAGATATACACTTAAATTTTTTTCCATTATTAACATGTGGTGGAAGAATATTATTCTTTGTATGAAGCTTAAAAGGCATCTAGCCAAAGAAAAGAGAAAGTTCTGTGTGGAATTGTACTTCAAGCATTGCCACATCAGAGGATTTTTGGATACGTGTTTTTGATCTCTCAGACTTCAGAAGTCTTCTATTACCATTTTCATAGGAGCTTTGGGGAGAAATTGGGAAACTTAAAGCATTTTCTTTTTTGTGAATTTTAAAGGACTTTAAACAAACTTACTTTTGGAGTGATACCAACCATGTGATAGAGATGTTGCAAGTTCCTAACATTTAAATTTGTTTCATACTGATAAGGGCCTTAAGTAGTAAATGCTCTTGGTGGATTTGAACAGCTAAGCTTGGATAAAGTCACGTTGGATTAAAATGAGCAATTATCTCTTGAGCTTTGTATTACTAAATTTAGTATTGGGCAGTCTACTAATTCTATTGATTATTGGTTTATAGTAATTCTGTAAGAAGCTTTGCTTGAAAGTTGTACTGTGGTACAGACATTTATGTGAATAAAGCTTTGAAGGTCACATAATTGTACTTTTCAAGCTTTTAAAAAACAATATTCAAGTAAAAGGTAGTGTTCCTTTTAGAAATAACAGTGATGCTAGAAATATACATTCCAGCCTTTTTAGAGCTAACTTTTTTTGTTGTTTTTTTTGTGGGTTTGTTTTTTTTTTTGCTAGGCTGAAGGGTACTATAGGTTGTTTCATCCAATTTATTGGGAATGAAGGAAAAAAAATCCCCGTGCTTTTGTTTTGTTTTGCTTTTCCTTGTAAATTGTAAGTAAATCTTTATCTGTCCACCTCCAAATATTATTATTCCTATCTGAATAATGAAACTCAAGGGAACACTGACCTACTCAATGCAGCTGTCTTATTCTTAGAGGGCTTCTCAGTGCTTTTCTTTGTTGAGTTAGAATCAAAGTTAAGCTTGTCCAAGTTTTATTATCTAGTTTTGCCCTACCTTTGGAGTGAATATACCTGCAACATGTTTTTGTGTAATAATGGCAGTATACTCAAAAGTAATAGTTTTGGATTTCCTAGGTAGTAGTTGAAATGTCTTTATTTTTGACTGTTTGTGATACTGAAAAAAAGTCCCTTTCTTAAGCAACAGTCTGGTGTACTGTCTTAGTCTATTGTACTGCCACCCCCAATGCTTGCTCTGAAAAAGAAAAATAATTCAGAGGCTCTTTTTCAACATCAAGTTTTTTCTTCAAGTTATTCTGATAGAACTACATTGGATTGTGATGCATTTTACTTAATCATCACTGCAAATCATCTTGCTCATCAACATTTCATATCGTCCCAAGATACCGTTGCAGGTGTAGCAGTCACTTTGCATATACAGAAGTGGTTTGGGGAAGGTATTCTTGTTTTTTCATTTGCCTGCAAGACTGTGTCTATGTTTTCCTGTCTTTGTGAGACCCTCATTTGCTAGGGTAGCGAGAAGGTGGGTTCTTTAAAGTTTCCTTTCAGAGTTGAAAAGCAATGTCAGTGTTGTAGGTTGTGGGCTGACTGACTGGCAGTGCCTACTTCGTGTGCCTTGAAGCAGCCATGAGGCACCTGGACTTGATTCTGTGGTAGTCATAGCTGAGGTCAGTGCATTTTGTTGGGAAAGGAATTTGCTATGGACACAGGTTGTTTAAAAATACCTTTGTTTTGTTACTTATTTCAGGTTGGCTTTCCATAGTTTTTACCTGTCCCTTTGCAACATATCTGCTCTTTTTCAAACTTTTCTACTGAAAAAAATTTTGTCAGACTGCAATTTTGTAAAAGAAGATAGACTCCTCATAAGGACATAGACTCCTCATTTGCTTGTTCTACCTCCTCTTCATGCTGCAACGTAGTCTTTGACTGTGGAAATAATCACACTATTACAAATGCCAATTTTTGCAATAGCAGGCTATATTGTTGAAGATGGAGGCCCTTGAAAAAATTGTGTGGGAGTTTTGTTTGTTATTGAGTACAGAAGACAGTGTGGAATCTTGGTCTCTAATTTATGAGTAAAGCAAGGGACCAAAATGTGGAAGTCCTTCCAATTTTTCAGGAAGTAAAATCCTGAATAGTTTCACATTACTGCAGGGGTTTTTTTGTGTGTTGCAATGTTCAAAACACATGCTTAAAACAGTATTGTTAACAATATTAAAACAAGGAATTATATAAAATGTTCTATTGGTAGAAGAATGCTGGAGTTTCTCTTAGGAGGAGATAATTCCTGCAAAAAAATCCAACATTTTGACAACGAATAAAACCGTTTAGTTATATATATATATATAAAAAACTGTAGTTTAATAATTGCCAGTTGAACTTATAAAATAAAACAGAAATCATAACAGGCATGATAACATTTGCAGTGAGTGGTGGCTCGCTAGGTTGCACCAGGCAGCTTTGAGTGGGATGTGGTGAGTAATGCAATTATTTTTGAGCCTACTACGTTTGCTTTCTCTGTGCATAAGATTATTGTATCATGATAGTATCAATAATATGACCGTAGCTAACGATGCCTCCTGGTCATATTATATACCAAGTGCACTGATTTATGTTTAGGTGTCACATTGGCATTAAGTTCTCTGGGAATTGTATTGTGCATAGCAGTCATGGAGGGTGGAGGTCAGGCTGCCCAGCAGGGGCTGGGTATTCCTGTTGGAAGAAGCTCACAAAAGACTAGTCTCTCTCTATAAATAGGACTCTATAAATTAATCTCTTTTCCACTCATGGAAACAAATAGCTTTTAATATACTTAATTTCAGACTTGGTCATAGTGCCAGTCAGTTGACTCTAATTAAACTGGTGTTGGAAGTCTGTCAAGAATTGGGTTTTGTTACGTGAAAAGGAATCTTGACCAAATTAATTAAACATTGAACTTACTCATCTGCTAATAGTGATTTTTACTTGTATTTTTAGTCATGTAGCACTGTAAAAATACACAAAACTTCTATAAAGCCAGTATCTTTTTAAGCTTAGGGATTCTTTTTTGGTAAACAAGTTTGACGTCCTACCACTTTTAATTTCTTTAAAACTCTAATCACCGGGATTTTTCAATATCTTCAGTCTAATCTGTGTGTTCTATACACACATATATATGTGCATGTATGTGTACAGTCACAACTCTTAGGGCTTGCTTGTATCATGTAAATTTGCTGAATTTGTCTAAGAGCTGGAAAACCACTTCCTTTTCCTTTGGTTAATGTCAGTCTTCTGAAATAACCCTTCTGCAGTATGAAACAGAATATTTAGCGTTAACCTCCAGGCTTCTAGTTAATATGTCTCTTCCGGAGATTGTTTGTTTAAATAGGAATTGAAATGCTATTGTATATGCTATCTCCATTACAGGAGACACGGTAGTAATATGTTCATAACAGTCTGTTGATTGATTTCTTTTGCCAAGTTGATGATAGTATTGTCTTAATGTGAAAGGTCAAAGGAAAAACAAGATGTTGAAAGTATATGATTTAAAGAGCAGTCTATTAATTTGAGGATGTCCTCCTAAATTTATTAAAAAAAAATCTAGGATAGGAAAAAAAAATCAGCCTCTCTAAGTTATTTGAGGTGTTGGCATACACTTCAAAACATAAGTTCTTATTATGTTCCTGATAGTAAATGAATGGTATAATTGAACATCAGTTCCATCTAGATGTGTCACATGCTACTTGAGGAAATGTTGGCAGCTCTTTCAGGAAGAGAAAACTCCTTGCAGACTCTAAATGATGGGTCAGTTTCTTAATGATGTTAATAAGCTGAACCAGGAGATTACATTTATGCCATTCTAGTGACTGTCCTGATATGAATCCCTGCAAAAAAGAGGAGCATTGTGTAATTCCTCTGCCTTGGCTTCATGTTTATCCAGTAGTTTCTTTCAGTGTTATTGGTCAAGCTTGTATTTATGTATTACTTGTTTCTCAATTGAATTTTTAAACTGAGTAAGAATATGGCCCAATTTATCAGGGAAATGAGTCTAGCACTAGTTACTTGACACCCTGGAGGACAGAAACGAAATGCTCTTAGTAGTTTACTACAGGTAGTTTTGTCAAGTACTTTTGGATTTCTTTTTCTCAAACCCCTTGTCTTTAGATGCTAAATATGGGCAGCAGGTCAGTTTTTCTTTAATTATTTCCTTTTAAACAGGCCACAGAGCTGTGTATATTGGAGTTCATGTCCCACTTGGAAAACCAGGCCGTCGACGGCATAGACATCGTGGGCACAGGCATCACAGAAGGAAAAAAGAAAAAGAAACTGACAGAGAGGATGGCCGAGAATCTCCATCATATGGTAGGAAATTTGTTGTGCAAGTTCTTTGCCTCTCTTGAAAATAAACTTGTAGTAGTTAACTCTGCTTAAATGTTGCTTGTTTTGTGCTATTTCTTTTATTCTCTCTGTAATTAACATCTTTCTGTGTACAACCAGACAAGGATTTTGTGGTTGTGTTTTGTCTAAGTCATAAGCTATTGGACTTGGTCCAGCTGTCCACATGAATGTTCAGCAGCCTGCACTGAATAGGTTAGACTAGAGCTTTGTAATGCTCTCCTGTAGCATGAAAATCTGTGTTATTTAAATTAGACACCTTTTTTCAGATTGTGTAGTCGTGTATGCTTCTTCGTCTGATTTTTAAAAGTAAGAATGTAGCTGTGAAGCAGCGTTTGCCATGGTAATTTGATCAATGATCTAAGTATTTACTTCAACCTTTTTCCTGTCTGTTAGTAAGGGAATTGTACTGCCTCCTAAGTTCGTGGATCATAAACTGTCCCCCAGTCTACCTCTTATCCTCAAGAGATGATAATTTTTTCTTATCATTCTCTGAAATTAAATTATTTGGCAGTACTCTTAGCAGTTTTACTTCAAGACCCTATGTCCACTTTTATTCCTAGACTGCAGTGAATGGGCAGGCTACACTGCAATGTTTGAATTCCAGTGTGGACATCATGCTATTCACTATTACCTTTCTATAACTAGAACCATATTCTTCACGGGACCAATACCTGAAAAAAGGAGTCTTCCAATGGAAATGCTTTGACAAATCTCCTTTTACCATTCTCCTCTGGTTCTTGGTTTCATCCATCTTCAAGGTTTCCCCTCCCAAATGTAAATTATTATAATTGACATTATGTTTGTAGAGTCTTGCTGTACGGTTTTTGAAGCACCAAGTGATATTAAATTGATAGAAAATCAGTCCTCTGTTCTGGTTACTTCTTTATCCTGGATACATAGGTTATGGCAGGATTCTTGGGGTGTTCTGGTTTTGGGACGGAAACAATCTGCTATGGGTCTGATAATGAATGTTGTTTGCATTCAAAAGAGCTCATTTCAGAACTGTTACTGGATGATGAGCTATGCCAGAACATCAACGCATAAGCAAAATTCAAATTTGAATGAAGTTTGTTAGTAATTCAGATCTTATGTCTAAATCTAAAGGGTGCTCTTCCTTCTACACTAGAAGCATACAGTTGTATGTTCACATCTCATAGCTGTGAGAGTGATGTTTCAGTGAAAAAAGTAAAATTTTTAAAATTGAGATTTACCTGGATCTTTGGTCTCTGACCTTCCTGAGATAACATTATAATTACTACATTATTGAACTGTTGTAATTTGAGTTGAAACAAAATCTTTATATAGGTATTAAAAGTATCTAAAACCATGTGCTTTTATTGGTGGGGTTTTTTTTAAAGTTTTGGTCATAGCACTGAAATCCAGTACTTACTTTTAATCAATAGAGATTGTTTAATATCCTTACAAGTTTTTACTGAGCCTATTCCGATGGGCATTATATTATGAGAAGGTAAAATATTTCCTCAACACTTTAGCTGCATAGCTTCTGCTTTGCTATGCTAATTTATACATAGTGCTCCAACTACACAATGAAAAAATTACTTTTTTTCTTATCCTATGTTAGTAGCAACAGGCCATAGAAAAGTCTTCTGCTTTAACAGTACAAGTACCTAGGTACTCGCAATTGAGTATCTTCAGCTATTATTTGGGCTGGTTTTTTCCAACAACCTGTTTTGTTTTCTCATTTTCTCCTGTAATTAGTGTCTGTGTTATGATGGTATCATTTATTTTGTTCTCAAAATGAAAATAAGATTTCTAGCCTTTTGGTTTATTAATTTTTACTTTTTTTTAACCAGTTCTACTGTTGATTTTTTTTTCACATTGGCAATCTATGGAAGAGCTAAAAATACTTAATTACTTTTCATAAACGTAAGTTTTCAGATGTTTTGTTTTCAGAAACAATGCAAAATTTTCAGAGAACCTCCTTTTAAAGAAATGTCCATGTTTCTTTTGTTCCTCTTCCCTCTTAAAGTAAGATGTTGTGCTGCATGTTTCTAACTGAGAGCAGGAATTTTTACTGTTACGTAGTGTTTCTTGTGTAATATAAGTATGAATTCTTTTAATTGTTAAGTTTCTCCTTTTCTTCAAGACACACCATCTCAACGGGTGCAGTTTATCTTGGGTACTGAAGATGACGATGAACACATTCCTCATGATCTCTTCACTGAAATGGATGAACTTTACTTCAGGGATGGAGAAGAATATGAATGGAGAGAAACGGCTAGGTATGCTGGGAGTAGATTGTTTCAAGGTATACGTGTGCGAGTCAACACACATAGGCAGCCAGAACACCCACAAAACCACGGCTGAAATGCAAAGGGTAAATTTGTTTCATTACTTCGCTAACTGGAGGACTCTGAAGCAGCACCCAGACCGAGACACACAAGCAGGAATGCTGACACTGTTAGGCTCAGTCCATCCTGATGGGCAGTGGGCCTGCTGTTTGCACCCGTGTATGAAAGCCCTGCGCATGTGTAGTTTACCACCATGCTTTTATCCCTCTGTACTTTTTTATAATCTCTGAGCTTTGATCTTTCTCCCAAGGTAGAGAGCTCAAGCATGTCCGTAGGAGTGCTTCCAAGTCTCTGTAAAGACCTCTATTATCTCTACACAGAGATTCTACTTCTCAAAACAGACAGAGGATAAACAGCAGGAGGCATTGTATATGGGGTTTCCCACACTGTTATTTTCCAGACCTTGGCATTCCCAGCTGCAAGGTCACTTGAGCGAATCTACCATCCTTCTCGCCATTCTTCTACTTATAAATCTTTCCTCCCAACAATATTATAGTGATTTTATTTCAAAGAACTGTAAACCGAGTTTGGGTTAGAATCTTCACTAACTAGGAGTTGTCTACTCAAGTCATGCTCAGCAAAACAAAACTTCTGGATTTTTTTGTCCAACTTTGAAAGAATCAGTATGGTTTCTCAAGAGATCCTCAGTCTTACTGGTTGGTGGTGTGTTCAGTTTCCTAGTACTGATCATACTGAACGTTGTGAAAGGTAGGACTGCACTGAGTTACTAATACAGGTGTTCATCCATAGAGTGGTATCTCTCTGGTATATTATTGTCGATATATTGGTGTCATTTTTTTCTCACTCAGACATAAAGAAAACCAGGTATTATGTTTTTCTTGGGTAGTATTTGACTAGTTTTTTGCAAATTGCATGCATGAACATTACAGGATGCTATGATTGTTTTTGACCTATGCTAGTTTAGTTGCTTCCCTCTACATATGCGTTGTAATAAATTCTTCTGCATTCAGTACTTCCAACTACCTTGTAGCATGCTAGCTTTTGCAGAAGTTTGATTTGCATAATGCCTGTGAGTTGGAATCAAGATCAATTTATAGTTGCACATATTAGTATTGCCCAGTTCTTAAATATCTGACGTAGAACCCTTAGGAGACTTGAACATCCTATATGGTGTGTTTCAGACAACTTTCTAGTCCTAAAATACTGACAAAATCAAGATATGCAGATCAATACTCTTCACAAGAATGTGTGAATAGACAGGTATTGTTTAAACCAAAAGAAACAAAATGGGCAAAAACTAAAACATTTGAGTGTGGTTAAAAGGCCTGACAAAAATGTCAATCAGTTGAGTTGTCTGAGAAAATGAAAGGCGGTGTGATTTGGTTTCATGCGATTTCCTGTTCCGTGTCATGCCAGAGCCACATGGAAGGATGAGATTACTTGCCAAATTTTCTTTCCAGGAGAAATATAAGTATGTGTATGTGAATGCTTTTCAGGTGGCTGAAATTTGAAGAGGATGTTGAAGATGGCGGTGATCGATGGAGCAAGCCTTATGTAGCAACTCTGTCTCTGCACAGTCTCTTTGAACTGCGAAGCTGTATTCTAAATGGGACGGTCATGTTGGACATGAGAGCAAACACACTTGATGAGATAGCAGGTTGCAGCAAAACTTTCTAAAAATATTTCTAAGTTTTAATCTATTTGAGGTGGTTTTGGTGGTGTCTTTATGTTCTTGAAATACTATATTGAAGAAACAGGTATGTGCATGCTTACTGCAGTTTTCTTGATCTGTTTATAAGGAATTTGGTTTCTACAAACTTCACATACAAAAAACTACACTGGATGAGTAGGAACTCCTTTCATATGTATTTTAGGATGAGGCCCAGAATTTGCCTTTATGTTCTAATCGCTGAATGTGTTCTTTGTCTTTGTTTCTACAGATGAATTGTAAATATCTGCCAGAACATTTTAGGAGTTATTTGTGCACTTTAGTACCATAATTATTAATCATAATTTGGCTGATGTTAACTTGATACCATTAGTGCAGTTGGTTGTTGCACATCTGGTATTTTTTTCACCTTTATACGAGGTGAGCAGAAATAAATTTCGTACATGTTGTTTGACCTACTATGTTGAGTGTCCTCACTAATCACATCGTCATTTGGGATACACAGTCAACTTTGGAGAGTTTCATGTATATATAATATATACACATACACACGTACATATCTATGTACATTATATATATCTGCTTAGCCTGAATGTCTTTGAATTAATTGTACACAATTTTCCTGGTATCTCTTGCTACAGGTACCACACAGCAGATTGCATTTGCAGGAATCATATTAGAATTAGGGCAGACTAACATGTATGTGGACAAGGTGTTTTGGCCTTAAAAACTTTGGCAGTGCTTGAAATGTTTTCTTGTTTTGAAATCTTCAAAATTCACTCAGGAAATTGTCATTCCCTTCCTATTTTCTTTACTTACTGAACAAGAGCATTCAATGCATTGTTTGTAAATGTAATGTTTTTGTTTATGATATTATTTTTAATAATTGAATTTAACAATAATCTTAGTTCATAAGAAAAATAGTTATTGCTTAATTCTATGTAAATGGCGCTCTTGATAGTGGGTATTTTAGTTGGAACTAGGATGTCTTAAGAGATTTTATGAATTTGTTTCGAGTTAATTTTAGGTACCATTGTGAAGTATGTAGGGTAACAGTCTTTGGTATACAAATGTATTGTCTTGTTTCCATGAGCCAGGAATACCTAGTAGGTATTATTGTTTCTTACTCAAAGAGGAGGGAGAAGGTGGCAGGTTTCCTTCTGACAACCTCTAACAAATGGCTGTGTGTTACCAGTAATCCCAGAAGGAAACTGCACTGTACTGACAGACACTTCGCTGCATAGAGTTTTGTTAGTGAGGTATCCTGAGCTGTAACATTTTTCATTGTGAAAAGTTCTATGTCGTTTCAGTTTAGCACTGCAGTTGAGTTCTCAATACATTAGATACCATTGGCAATCTATATTTGAAAAGTTGTCATATAGGTTTTTGTTGCCTTATGCTGGTTGGGCCTTTTTTATGGATTTATTTTACTTTTTATTATTTAGAAAAAAGGGCAGCTAAGAAATCACAGTAGATACTTTCCCTGGTATGGAGGCTTTCTTTCCTGGTGTGAGCATACTGCTGAGATGCTCTTTTGAAACTCGATATTGTTTGGCAGATGATTAGTTAGTTTTACATGGTATTACTAGATATTGTTTTACACTTCCTCCTCTAAAGCATGTGAATCACATGAAGTTCAGTAGAGTCTCAGGATCTTAGGGCATCCAAAGATGACAGAGGAGTTATGGAATTCATCTCATTCTGTAGTAACTTTCACTTTTATATAGTTTAAGTAACACCAGATTAAGACTGTCATGTCTGTTTTCCATCATATTTCTGTCTTTGTGTACTCACTTCTAGTGTAGGGTTGTTGATTACATTAGATACTTTTTTGAATGGGAGTCACCACTGGAAGTTGAAGTAAATGCCAGTACATTATAAAATATTAAGTAATTTATTTGTTGAAATGGTGCTACTAATAAATACTGTCTCTTGGATCTGCATGTTGTGCTTTCCTTATTCTCACATCTGCTTGTTTAGTGACATTTGAAAATTTCCTGTGGATTCTTGAAGATAACTTTTTTGTTAAAGAAAAGATTTTTATTGGAATAGATTAAATTTTTTTTCTAACTTGGTGCAACTACAGTGCTGGAATGTGGTGAAGGAGAGATTTGATAGCTACCTATATAATTTCCTTTTTTGTTCTTGTATTATATAGATATGGTTTTGGACAACATGATTGCCTCTGGCCAGCTGGATGAATCCATACGAGAGAATGTGAGAGAGGCTCTCCTAAAAAGGCACCATCATCAGAATGAGAAAAAATTCAGCAGTCGGATTCCTCTGGTTCGGTCTTTCGCAGATATAGGCAAGAAACATTCTGACCCTCACTTGCTTGAACGAAATGGTGAGATAAGTTGTAGCATCCAGTTTGTACTAACCTGGTAAATAATGTTCTCACTTGGAGATGAAGGAAAGCTCAGCTGGTAATAGCAGATAAGTGTTTCCCTCTTCATGAGCAAAGAACTAACAATAATGTGGATGGTGCTTCTGGATATTTTTTTACTCAAACATTCTACTCCTGCCTGTATACCACAGCATGCATTATTATTTTAAAGTATAGAAATAGGCCTACATTGGTCCTAATGTTTTTTAGTATATGCTTGTATAAAATGTGCAATGTTTGAGGAATTTCAGCATCGTGGCATATCTTTATATGTGTGTATAAAATGGATGCTACTTGCTTATACAGTCTTTGCACAAGAGATTGACATAGTGATCATAGAATGAGTTCAGTGATGCTGACAATTATGTGTTTTATTCCAGTGTTGTTATGTTAATATGTCTAGAAAAAGTTCACCATGCCAATGGTGAAGATAGTACATTTAGCTAGGACACTCTTTATTTTTAACTGGTTTTGTAGAAAAGGATCTAATGGGGAAAAACAATCCCAAACCCAAGAAAGGTATTAGCAATGTTTTTAGAAGCTGCACCACATCTTGTTTTGAACCAATTCCTGAAAATCTACTCTAGACATCCAGTTCCAAACTCCAAATAGCAATATGTACTGCAGAGCAGCTTACTTGTGGTCTTGTATTTCTGTGACCTCTGTTTCCATCTCTGTTCTTTGTTTTCTTTTGCCTTGCGTTAACTAAGACATAAGTTTTTTTTAATCTAGTGAAAACTAAGGATTTCATGAAACTGTCCTCGAAGGGAACTTCTTTTCCTGTCTTGAAAGATGCCTCATTGCATAAAATATGTTTCACTTAGTTTAAGTACTCATTAGGAGCTACATACTCTGGAGTACTCTACAGCAAATGCCTAAGCTTACTGATACTTTTTGTTAGGCAGGGAGTATAAGGTGTATGCTTAAATATTTCTCTGATTGTTTCAGAATATTTTTTTTCAAGACTGAAAATGCACCAAATTTATACGAGTGTATTGTCTTCTGTAACTCCCAAGTCTCCTGTTTGGTTCAACAAATATGAAAATTTCACACACAGACTTGGTTTTTTCCGTCCTTGAACATCTGTGTTTTCAGTTGTAATTGTGAGAATTTTGTATTTAAGGTCTCTTGCTTGTCAGTTACCTTTCGTGTATCACTTCCACTTTCCAGCACATTTCATTCATAATACTATTTCGACAACAGAATATGGGATATATGCTGAAATAAGAAACCAGTATAATTTGGTGAACTTTTTCTCAACATATACCGATTTACTTCTTTCTTTATAATCCTACAGTGATCCTCTAAAATGGTAAACTGAAAATGCATATGTGCATAGTACTTCTTAGGCTCCTTAGAAGGGTGTGTCTGTTTAGGACATCTCATGTTCGTGATTTATCACAAGTATACTGACAGAAATCTAGCTATTACTGTAGTGATTAATACAGGCTAAATCAACCAGTTTGCTCTGCTGGTCCTATTTTCTTTACTGCAGTGCAGTTTTGTGGTTTTAATAGTTGATTTTTGATTCTTTTGTTCTTAATTTAAATCAGGTTTGTATCTGTAGGATCCAGTCTTTCATTGTTTGGGGGGGGGAAGGGGAATATATGTAACCTATACCTAGGCATGCTTTTTATCCTTCTTGTAAATTATTCTAGGGTTGTTCAGCGTACTGGTCTCAGTAGTGCCTACTATAAATGTGAGAGTAAACGTGTCTACTTCGATATTTCCTTGCTTGATGGCATGGTACATGAAAACAGCATGTTTTGGGTTCAGGCATTGTAGGAGAAGTAATCAGTAATCTTTTCGAGGAGACTACCATCCCAGGAAAAGTGGTTTTGGTAAACAGGAGAAATGGTATCGCTAAACCTTCTAATAGAAGTGCTTACATGAGTGTCAACAGTCTCTTTTCCTGCTTAAGGAAGAACTGAAATCCATTGCAAACTCCAATCTGAGGGAACCATCACAAGACTATGTTCTCTTCATATGAAATTAGTGGGACACTGAAGCTGGATAGGGCAAGAAAAATAACAATGGATTTGGAGAAATGTGTTTGATTTTAGGCATATTGGGGCTATTGGTAAGTCATAGCAAGAGGAAATGGAGAAGGGACTATGTATCTCATTTTTGTGCCCTCTTCAAAAATATGTGTTGAGGCTACAGCTGCCTGGGAAAATTCTTAGTAAAACAAGGCTTATATTGGAAGACAGTTGCATTTAACACAATTGGATATGTTTGATCATGTTCACTTTTTAAATAAAAATTTTTTTGTATATAGTGAATGGAGTTAACTGAAGTATTTTAATGTTTTGGTTGCTAATGATTTTTCAATGTACTTTTTGGATGGCATTAACAGTATCTGCTGCGCAGTTTGGAATAAGAAATTATTCTAGAAAAGATTAAGAGTCAGTTTCAAGAGATAAAAAATAAGGTAATATCTTCTCCCACAGATCTTTGGCATTCTAATTTGTACTTCTCAGTAATTTCTGACTTCTGTAATGTCTGAAATCAGATTTACTCTTATCTCTTGTCTTACTTGCATGAGTATGACACTTTGGCCTGTAAAGCTTGCAATTTGCTATGTAAATTGTTCATGCATATTTGTTTCTGTGTGGGTTTGGTTTTTTGTTTTATTTTTTTTTTAATTTAATATATCCCTTTTGTAAGCCTCATGGTGTTCCATTTGTTTTATCTCAGGGGAAGGCCTTTCAGCCTCCCGCCACTCTTTGCGAACAGGTCTCTCTGCCTCAAATATTTCCCTGAGAAGAGAAAGCCGTTTGTCAGTTCTTCTCAGTTACCTTCTTCCTTCTTCAAGAGCTGGAACCCCGGCAGCCTCGAGGTGTACAACACCTGTAACTACCCCTCAAAACACACCACCCTCCAGTCCTACGTGCAGTCTCCTGCCAACCACAAGTGCCCAGCCAAGTCCACTTCAGGGCAAGGAATTGCTGGTGTCACCTGCCAGTGATGACATTCCCTCAGTAGTAATTCATCCACCTGAGGAGGACTTAGAGTTGCAGGAAAGCCAGGAAAAGAAGACAGAGGAAAATATTGGCAAAACACCAGGCAACTACTGAAATTTAAGCTGTCCGTGTGTGGTGCTCTCTGCATCTGGATCACTTGCATTGCGATGTTTTTGGCACATAACTTGGGCACAAAGGAATATGATAACTATTACCTCTGCCTGCATGTTTATTTCTTCTCAGTTGTGATTGTTTTCTTGTTTGGCATTTTTAACTTTTTAGCTTTTAACTAAAGCAAGCAAAAAATTCTTTAATTAACATTCATTTGTATAATTAAAAAGTAATATGGCTTTAAAATGTAATATATAAGCAAAATGTCAAAAATGGTGGCCTTTTCCTTTCACTCACCTACAGTCCATATCAGGTTTTGCTTTGGTTTTATCAGTGGTTAATATTTTAAAACAGTGTTTGTTATCCTGAGATAGGTACAGCTGAAGTGATGGTGAAGTATTAGAGATGATATGAAAAGAATTAGGAAGGATGCCATTATCAGTAGTGTTCATAGTTAGTTGTATAATGAAGTCATCAAGCAGTTTTATTGTTGTTTTTTTTCTTTTAAAAACCACGGCTGTTAAAACCAATAGGACATTATGATGAAATTTTCGGGTACAGTTCACCTACAACTGTTTCCAGATGACTCTCCATTAGTGGATTGCATCAGCATCAGACACTCAATCAGTGTTTTGTTGTGTTTGATATGCAAAATTGGAGAAGGTAGTTAAGAGTTTGTAATTGTAGATTGGAGCTCAGCAATTTTTTTATTTTTTTGTCTTGCAAGACTTTGTTCTTTATATGTAAAAAGGTATATTGATGTATAGATTAGTTGAAAGAAACTGTCAAAACATTCCAACTTTTCTTGAATTGTTTTTAGTAAAAGTTTCATTACTCATGCATTCTGCAGTCATAGTCTTATACTTGCTTTACTTTTGCAGAATTATTACCTAGGTATAGACTTCATGATACTTCTAGGTAGATCACGTTTTTAAGGCAGGGATCATCTTTCTTTTCAGCCTTCAGCCTCCTCCTGCCTTTTTTTTCCTCCCCTTCTCAGAAATTTGTCTTGCCAAAACTTAGTGTATAGGTTTGTCTGCTTTAGACCTGTGTGTAGTGGGGTGGGAGAGGGGCTGATTTCAAATAGGTCTTCCATTGGTGAGGCTTTTCTTGGCTATTTCCTCACTTGTTTAATAAATAAGAGCACATTGTTACATACAGCAGTGAAACAATGCTGATAGAGAAAAGGCTGTGGTTGTCTGCCTTTTCATATTTGGCAGCCAAGTCACTGAAAAGGAAAGAGCAAACTGTGTCATAAGCTGTTATCTTCAGATGAAGTATAGGGGCCTCGTCATTACTTAAATTCAGAAAAGCAAACAAAAACCTCTTTCTCTGACTTCCTTTTGGGAAATTAAGAGCATTCACATGAAGTTTATTCTCTCATGGGTCATCTTGCAAAGGTAATTAGAAACCAGAAGTAACGTAACAGTTGTAATTGTTTTTCCAGTTCTCATTTGTCTGACAGGAATGACAGCATGCCAGACCCAAGGTCTTTAGAACACAAGAGAAGACAAACAAATGAAAATAAAGTACTTTATGCTATTATTATCATCACTAATAAAGCTTTCCGCCAGAATTTCCAAATTGCATTCAAATTGCTTTTGTTCCGATGTTTCTCATAAAGGAAAAATCTGAAAGGGATGGTTTTCTAGTTAATCATAAGTAAAAGTCTTTTCAGAGAATGTTAAACACCAACGATGATGGAAGACATTTTTGTTTTCTGGGGTTTCCCCCTTTTTTTTAATTCAAGTAATCATCTGACCACAGAAAGACACCTTTTCCTTAGAGATGCCTTTGAAGACATTCTCAGACTATGACTTCAGAGCTGCAACTGGACTAATCTTTTTCTTGAGAAGCAGAATGAGAAGGAAACCCTGAGGAAGAAGTAATCTTCCTGGTGTTAATTAAAAAAAAAAATCTTCCTGCTCTATTCTACAATAGAGTATGCTCTGTATTACCTCTTTAGTAATTCATAATATTGCAATCTGAATACATTTTCCACATCTGTGTGATTGAGTTGGTTTTGCCTCCTGTGAGCATTAGGAACTGTGTTAATTTTCTAATAGGTGACATTCTTCTGTTTAGCATTCATCTGTCCTTGGCCTTGTGTTCTTCAGAGTTTATTTTTTAGTCTTTACTATTAATAGCTGGAAGGTTACTGAGCTTAATGTGAGTTACTGTAAAAGGAGGGAAGAGGGACACACCTTCTGTCTACCACTTAATTTTCATCAGCCAGTCATCAGTTCGTAGTAAGTCAACCAGACAAAAGGTTCTCTTAATTTTTTTTTGCTATCATTTGAAGAACTATTGAATAATGAATTCCATTGGTAAGGCTAGGAAGAGAACTGTGTCACAGCTAAAAATGAACTGTTAATTCACCAACTTTCTTTGAGCTTTCTTGATGTCTGAGCAATAGCAAAGCAGCAGAGAGGTCTTTTGGTTCACTGATAAGTGTACTTTAGAACTGAGCAAAATAACATTTAAAACAACTTTGCTCTTTAAATAATTACTTACTGAAAATAGTAATTCAGAAAGGTTTTCATACTTGCTTTCTCTTAGTAATTTTTTTCACATTAAGACTGCATTGGAATTTAATTTTAAAAATTGCTTCTTATTTCCTCAAATATAAATATGGTATGACTTCATATTTAAAAGTTTTTTATTATATAATCTTTACCTATATAATTACATTGAAATAGTCATGCTTAGGTGTTGAACTCATATCTTCCTCATCTTATATGAAGCAGAGATGTGAGACAATTGCTAGGAAATGCACATGATCTTTAGTGAAGGTATAGTTATAAATACTTTGACTTGAGTGATCCTAAGAGGTTATAATCCAAATTACTCAACACTCAATCCACTGTTGTCTTTTGGAGGAGACAGGTGGTACATCTGCCTAACTAACAACATCAAGAAGAGTACTGTGTGTTTTTAATGATCCCCTTGGTAGCTTGGTAATGATAAATTTCTCTGTCTCATAGTCTGAAAAGTACTACTAGGTAGTTGTCCTTTTTGCAGTAGCCTCTGAGTTTGCATCTACTGAACCGGAGAAGAGAGGGAAATAAGTTCTTTTATTAGTGTGAGATTTGAACTGTTTCAGTATTAGAGAAGATAACTTTTTATTCAGAGTTTCTCTGCAAACATCAGATTGATTGATATGCATAATGAAATGCGGTGTCATATGGAAATGCTTGCCCAGGTCTGAAAACGTATAAGCAGTTTTGTCTTGTGAGAGCAGCAGTCTGTCCAACTGCAAGGCCAGCAGAAAGGACTAAGATCAGACAAGTGTCAGTGCTGAAACTTGTAAGCTTGAACATATATGAGTGGTTGGAGAAATTTTGAAGGCAAACCTTTTAGAAGAATCAGTATCACTTTGGTACTGAAATAATAAGTGTTTATGCTAATATGTAGAATCCTTATTCTCTGTCCTTCTCCTTGATGTTCCCCTTTTTGTTCTAGTCTTTGCTTGCTCTTGCTCTCAGTGCATTTCTGAAAAGTGCTGAATGATGCATTATGACTCATCTTTCATCAATTACAAACATTTTGAGTTTCCTGTACTGGAAGAGGGGACAAAGTAGAAAAAGTTTATACATATAAACTTTTATATTATGCTGCTCTTCTGTAACAACCGTTTAATATTTATTTCTAGTTCTACAAACACATCAACTCTTAAGCAGTTAAATACTTTTGATCAGCTGATTTCACAGGTGGTTGATGCTGTGATTCTTGTGAATGATGCTTAAATCTTGGAGCAGAAAAGTAGAATATGTTTTCTTGGGGGGATTTTTTGTTGTCTAGATAACTGAACATAGTATTTATAGCGTTAGCTCATTACTTGTGCATGTTAGGATTTATGAAGGAAATGACAACCTATTAACTTCATTTGATTTTTGCTTCGGAAAAACTACCCATACCACTTATATCCCTATGAACTGTAAGAATGAAAATTAATGGTAAAGGCTTGGACCTGCATATTTTCTGTTGATAAGATGACTCTTGGAGAGAGTTTTTTTGGAAACAAATATGGGGGTGAAATAGAATGAATTCAGTTGTCATTTGAATGCTAAAAAATATCGAGGTTGCTAAATTATAAACATGGAGGTATGCAAAGAGTTACGTGACAGTAATTATGATAGAACAATAGCCCAAATGTAGCCATTGATGACTTAATTTTTTATCTTGACTAGTGTGACACTTGATTTAAATACAAACTTTCTCTTTGTAATAGATGTTCAGACTTCAGTCTTTGTGTAGATGTGGTTTTGAAAGCATGTGAAAACATGTTCTGTCACCACAGCTGAGAGGTGTGGACAAGCAAGAAGGCCAATTGCACTTCTAGTGCATGTTAAACCGAACAACAAAAGCTCTGTAATCCAAAAGGTGGGATTTGGGCTTGACTATGCGTGCCTAGACCAGCTTTTAAATGTTAATTGGGTATATGACGCAACATGGAATTCAGTGTGTATGAACACTTGGATTACATTGACTTTTGCATCCTTTACTGAACCTGCAATTCAGTGCTGCTGGCAGTGTAGCAAGCTACATAAGATGGTTTTGTTTTGGTGCAGGTGTTAGCGGGAAGCTGTATGTTGAACTTGAATAACCTCATTGTGCATGCTTCTTCAGCTAAAGTGTATATTCCATATTGTAACATCTGGTCAGATGAATAGTAGGAACTTTGGTCTGTTGATGAAAATCGTGGTTTGCAAACTGTCTATCCGTCATGTAGTACACAATTTACTTGTACAGCTTAGTTAGGATATCATTCCTTGTATTTGTAGCCCGAGGCCTGCTGATGCTTTTTACAATTGCAATAGCTGCCACACAGCAGACTAGATAGCAGAGGTGTTTGCATTTGGTGTCCGAGGAATTCTTAGTATGGTGAAGGTGCTATATACTAACTACTATATCAGTTATGACTAAAATGTCAGCAGTTATTTTTTCTGCGATTGAAATAGCTGCGATGTTTTCTGGTGACTGTTTTGCAAATGGCCATCATTTGGGCAATACTTAATTTTTTAAATTGTGTCATTATTTGGCAACACAGTGATTTGTTAGTGTTGCATTTATAATACTAATGTAGGGCACTTGTACTGAATAACATGCACATTTGCTTTGAGCAAGCTGCCACATTGAGTTTTGGTAGTGTTGCACACTCCGTTCACTTCATGCACCATTTTGAACTTAACTTCTTTGTTTTAATTTAGGGCTATTAGCATCTCCACAGTCAGCACCTGGAAACTTAGACACTGGGAAAAGTGGAGATGTTAAAGGTACTGGGACAGGAGGAAGCAGAGAAAACAGCACCGTTGATTTTAGTAAGGTAAGTAAACATTAAATACCTTAGTGTTTAGCACAAATTAATTGTGAAACAAAAAATGTGCTGGTTGTAACTTCCCCCTTAGTTACAACTAAGACATGTACCAGTGTACACAAGACATAGGTACTTAGAGATAACTTGTACATACAAGTGTCAGAATATGGTCTAGGCTAGATGTGTCACATGTTTTGAAATTCTTCCCAGTGGGATGGAACGTACTGTTTGATTTTCTCAGTATTTTGGTAACGTAAGAGTGCAGCTGCTGTACTTTCTCATGCAGATGGAGGTATTTTCAGATCTGCTGTTGAGTCTCATGTGAAAAGAATTTTGTAGATTTCCTTCGATGACTTCTTGTTTGTTTTTTGGTTTGTGTTTTTTTTTTTTTTTCTGAAGAGAGCTTTTAAAGAGGATTTGCTGCATATGTATTATGAGTTTCCTGTACAAAAGTTACTGTACCTCTTAATCATTAGGAACATATACTATAACTTTCTGAAGGAAACCTTGTAAAAAATCTACTGTAAATCTGTTGTTTTTCTTTCATAATTTAAATTTCCTGGGCAAGTTCCATTATGGCTTTTACTATAAAACTTAGTCTGTAGTGTCATCTGTACTGCGAAACACAGTAAGAGAATTGGTTTGCCAAGTTCAATAGTTATGTGTAAGGAAAGCTAACTTACAGTGTAGTTCTGATCTAATCATGGTAGGTACCATATATTCCTACTCCTCTGTCACAGTTTTTGTATTTTTGCTTGGCCTGTCCTTGTGTACACCTGCCTTGTCTCCTGTTGGACAGGAGTCAGCCTCCTGGCACTGTAGTTGTGGCACACTTGGTGTGGGACTCAAGAGGCCATCTGTAAGTTCCCTAGCTAACGATGTACCTGGTGCTTGTGTGTGTGTATGTGAACACAGAGTTCATGTCCTGCACCGCTTTCTAATGCACTTGTGTAATTATGTACAGAAACGGATGTGAAGATTTTCAGCTGTCATATTCTTTATGGATGAAGAGATAAACATACAGATTATTTTTCAAAATTATGACGCATTTGAAATACACAGCTGCGAAATAACTCACTGCATTCTAGAAACCATGTGTAATTACATGAACTCTCTTCAGTTAATTGTGCATAGATTTTGTTAATTTATGTCCTATCATAAAATGTTTGTCATTATAGTATTAGAAAGGTAATTATGCAGTTTGGAGTCTTCTAGGTGTTAGTAATTCTAACTTATAGAAAATAGTTTATTATTATTTGGCTGGATGGCTGACATTCTCTAAATGTGTTTGTCTTTTCTGTACTGTGGGATACTTAATTTGCTTTTTAATTTTTCATTGTAGCATAAATGTCTAGTAAATACTGATAAATGTAATTATGTTACAAAATTTCTGCTAAAAATGTAAGGGAATAAAAACACTTGTTTCATCTTTGTATGAATAGGTTGATATGAACTTCATGAGGAAAATTCCTTCAGGAGCAGAAGCATCAAATGTGTTAGTGGGAGAAGTAGATTTTTTAGAAAGACCCATTATTGCTTTTGTGAGGCTCTCCCCTGCTGTGCTCCTCTCGGGTCTCACAGAGGTTCCAGTTCCTACACGGTAAATAAATGCCTGTAAAGTCTGGCTTTACTTATGCAATATTTAAGATCTCAAGTAGCTGAAAGTTTTTATGTATACTGTATTAAGCTCAAGAAGTGTAGAGTTTTGTTTAACATTATGCCAGTCATTTGCTGCAAAATTTGAATGAATGAGATCTGCCATAAAATTCTCTGAATGCATAAAATATGTTATGATGCTGTTTTAAGCAAGTGCAGGAGTTGAAACTGATAGATGACTTGGAGTAAAAGCAGTGAGTCTTCCAAGCTTGTGTTGCCATTTTAAAGATGGGCATGAAGATCGTTATAATTCCCTTCAGTGTGACACAACTTGTCAGTGGGGAAGAGCTCACTAAGTCTGAAAGATTGTCTGACCTGAATCTCTGTTTTTTCTATACAAATACTCTGTATATGAATAACCTAGGTGGTAGAAAGACCTTTTTTAATTATGTGCTCAAATCTACATGATTAACACTAGAGTAACCAATCTGCAGCTAATACATTGAAGTGGTTTTCAGTCTGCAATATGCCATCCAGTCTGGTGCACCCACCCCTACTCCCCCAGAATCATGGGTCTCACAAGTATACTGTGGGTATGTTTACTACAGATGTTCAGAATATCAAAATGCTGGTCCCATCCATGATGAAGGTAGCAGATCATTTAATCAGTCATCATGGAGGACACTTGATTTTCTGTGCACATTGATGTATGGGGCTGTTATGTGGTGTTTGGCAACATTTGTACATTCATGTTTTTTGGTGTTTTTTTTCAGTGTTTGTTATCTTTGTAATTTTCAGCTTACTCTTTTGAAAGGCAAAAATATATGTGAGAATTTTCAGAGGATACTTGACATTAGTGCTTATGCTTTTTGGAAAATTCCAAAATTTCTGCATACAGATTATTGTATTAATGTAGCTAAAATTCTGTTCTAAGTTTTTAGAATGGTGTAGACTTGCAGATTTGGAATAGCATGCTTGGATCCTGAAGATGCACTATCAGTTTCAATAAGGGTAGTAAATTTGCAAAGGAGACATAGAATTGAGCTTTTTGTACTGTGAGATAAAAGATGATGTTACTTTCTTTCAAGTGTGTTGTGCTTAGGAACTTCATTTTCATGGATTATAGGAAGAAGGTTGTGAAACAAATGACAGGTTTTAGTTTTTACTCCTTGGTTTGTATCCTTTTGAATTCATAAGATGCTACTTCTGTTCAAGGTTTTGGTGGAGTTTTTTGTTTCTTCTGTTTTTTAATTAAAAAATAATTGCAATAACTATTACTGGGGTTGGAAATAGAGACTGTCTGTTAACATATGCGTTAGGCTTACTTAAGAAGATTTTTGAAGAAATTTTGGTTCAGATTTGAATTCCTTCCTATAATGACTTTGAGGCAAGTTTTTTCAGTGTTGCAGCAGTCTTTTAAGATGTGAAATGGTAAAAATGATATTTTTACTTCACTACTAAATTTTGCTTAAACATTAGTTTGAAAGACCCCTTCTGAGTACATGCAGATGAGTCAGCCATATTCAGCTCCATTGCTTTCTCCACAGGTTTTTGTTTTTATTACTGGGACCAGTAGGAAAAGCTCCACAGTACCATGAAATTGGAAGATCAATAGCAACACTTATGACAGATGATGTGAGTGATGTATTTTAAATGCTTGTAGTTAAAGTCTAGAATAATATATTTACCACCTGATTTCAAGAAATGATTTTGGAGTGACAGGTTAAAGAAAAAACCCCTGCAAACCGGTTAAATAAATAACGGTTAATTATTTCTTGTGTTGGTGAAGTAGATCATGGTAAATTAACTTTCCTCTTTGTCTGTCTTGAAGAAATCCTAAATGCATTTATGCATTTCTGAAAAAGTTATTTTGGCTTTGGTGTATAGATTTCATTTTTGTTTTAAATCAGTTAACAGAAAGACTATATAGAACTGGTTTTGATATGAATCACTGTATGTTAAAAAGGACACAACAAACTGTGTAAGTGTTCAGGACAGAAGGTTTTAAGAATGCATGCAATTGAGTCATCATAGGTATTTTTTTATCTAACCAAGGTCAAATAATTAAAATTAGAATTCTTCTTGCCATTTGAAGTCATATATTAAGAGCCCTATTGGTTTTAAAGGCCACAGGGGAATCAGAACTTTTTAAGGTCGTTGCCATCTTACTGAGCAGAATTAGGATGTTTTAAATTTGGCTTCGCATTGAGCGCCACCTACTGAATTACTGATAATTTTTAGGGTTATCTGGCAGAAATTCAAGTACTTTTTACTCTAGCACAATTTGAAGTTTGGAAATGTAAACCAAAAAATTGTCATTTTGCAGTTGAGTAACCAGCCTGTGAATAGAGTTTTTGTTCAATGTGAGAACTGAATATTGAAAGCTTTAGTTGCATGTTCTGATTTTTTTAGGTAGGCTGATCTGATTTTTAGGAATACTGTAGATCATTGAAATATGAAAAACTATGAATTATTTAGTGGTCTAAAAAGACCTAAATAGGCTTACAAGATCTAATTTAAGATCAGATAATTTAATGGTCAGGTAATTAGAGACAAACAGTTCAGGTTTCAAGCGTACAGAAGCAATTTAGGATCATCTTCTGCAGACAGTTTTTTAATAGCAAAACTAGCACATTTTCTTCTGTCTGTGTATAAAATACATCTTGGGGTTCAAGGACTGTTTTTTTATTTTATACTGCCTGTTTGTCAATTCAGAGTTTTCTGTTGTCATCTGTAAAACAGTGCAGTGGTTTTGTTTTGTTTTTTAATAGTTGGAGGATTGTTTTCATGTGCTTTTTAAGTAGTCTTTTAAACTTAATTAAGCTAGATGTATACAAATGAAGTTTTTATTCTTAATAAAAACTCGTGTTTTGGTTTGAAACTCATTTGAAATACTTTCTGTCCTGATTTAGCACAGCACAGTGGTACAGTGGCTGTAGGGCAGAATTATTCAGGCAATAGTACATGAATTTGATGGCGTGAATATTGAAGATTAACTTTTAATTTAATTTTAAAAGTGAACTCAGTATTCATTCTGAGTTTGAAGATAAAACTGCCTCATTTTATGGCAGTGCATACAGGTAGCTTTTAATGCAAAAGTATGCAGGTAAAGCAGAAGTCAAACTTTTCAGGACCTATATTTTCCAGGTCTTTTAAATTAAAACTAATGAAGTGTAATCATTATATAATGATAACCAGTTACTCTTTCAGAAAAATAAAATAAAAACAAATGTTGAGTACTTTCTTCCTGTAGGTTTTCCATGATGTTGCCTATAAAGCAAAAGACCGAAATGATTTGTTGTCAGGAATTGATGAATTTTTAGACCAAGTGACAGTCCTGCCTCCAGGAGAGTGGGATCCTTCTATACGAATTGAGCCGCCAAAAAGTGTTCCTTCCCAGGTAAAAGAAAAAAAAAGTCCAGTCTTTCTTGTAGTGAGGGGGCCAAAACTGAACACAGGATTTGAGCTGCCAAATCCCCAGAGGGACAAGCACTGCTGTAGTCCTGCTGGCCACACTATTCTTGATACAGACAAAGATGTCGTTGACCTTTCTGGCCACCTGGGCATACTGCTAGCTGATATCCCTTTGGCTGAAAACCATCAGGAAAGTCCCCACATCTATTTTGCAAGAAAAAGTGGATTGTCAATTTAAGTTAAAAAAAAATTAAAAAAAGATAAATGAAGAAAAGAAGAGGGGAAAAAAGACATTAATCAGTTTTCTGCTATGCTGTTAAGTAAATTGTATTTACTGTATTTCCTTCTGAAGTACTGAAATGAGTTCATATGAGAAGGAGGAGAATTGGTCAGAAATTGTACCTGAGTTCGTATTATAAATTTTGCTACCAGTCTAGCAATGATCAGCAAGAATATTTTTATTCTTATAAAAACTTGTGTTTGCATGCAGCTTTGATTGAAATGCCTTAATGTATTTTGTCTAGCTTATAGTGTTCGCAGAATATTTATGAAATAGATAAAAGTTGATCATACCACTCAGTTGTGATGATACAGGCTTAGAATGAGAGCCAGGAAAAGTGAGTCCTTAGAGAGATTGTTTCTTCTCCTTCTCCCTCTTTACAGCTTAGGGGAATTTGGGCTGACGGGATCAAAAGCAGGGGAGAGACCAGTGAGTGCTCTTGGTTCAGAAGGTTGAGTCTAGTGGTGTTTCGGTGGAGCCGCTGGAATAGAAGGGGGTGACAGCAATGGAGTTTATTGGTGAATTGCCTGAGGCTACCATGTAACTTTTTTCCAAAATAAACAGGGCTCAAGTTTTTTTGGAAGGAAAATTCAGCTGAGAAATTTATGAGGAGCTGGTGACAGCCTGTTCGGGAGGGGAGTGACTTCTCATTTATACTTCAGTTAAATACTCTGCATGTCATAAAGTGCTAGAGGTTTCTGCTAGAGGTTTCTGCTCTGGAAATGGTTGAGAAAAAGTATCTCAATATTTCTGGGCCTCATGGTTGAGCCTCTACTGTGTCTTGAAAAACCAGGCTTTGTTTTATCATGTTTCAGGAACCTATTTCTTGTAGAAAGAGGAAAGATTAATACTGTTGTGCAGGGTACTAGTAAGATGTTTTGGAGAGTGTTGTACAGTTCTAGTTGTCTGTAAACAACAAAAGATGAATTTGGCAAACGGAGGACTACTGATAATCTGGGAATATCAAAAAAGGTTTGGAAGGCATAATGTCTCTGCACGCTGTCTTTTAACTATACTTCATAGACTCAGAGAATCTCTCTTTTTTCTTTTTGTTTTTTTTTCCTTTTTTTCCCCCTGTCTTTTCTGTAGGAGAAAAGGAAGGCACCTAAATTTCCAAATGGATCTACTCCTACAGGAGAGACTCTCAAAGAAGAAGGCCATCATGCTGGACCTGAACTTCAGAGAACTGGAAGGTGTGTTCACTTCCCTAAATGCTAGCTACCATAAAGAAATAGAAGTGATAAATCTTCATCTAAATGATTGACATTTGAACATAAAAAAATCATGCTATAAGTGTCAAAGTGCATCCTTTGTCCTTTTCAAGTGTTGGATTCTTGCCTGTAAGTGCCAATCTGCTGAAGTATTTTCAAGTCTGTGGCAATGTTTCTCAACACATTTGCGAAGGATTTCACATAAGATGCTGCCTAATTTAACTAACTGACTTTTAAGAGTTGGGTTTTAAATTTTAATCTTCAAGAGCATGCAATTATCATAATTACAGCAGGCATATGCAATTTTAAGTATTGGGCTAGGTACTAAAAATCTCCATTAATGCAAATCTGTTTTATTAAACATATATGAAATGGAACAACAAGAAATATAAAGTGGCAAAAAGTACTTTGGTATTGGTTAGCTTTGGGTTTTGGTCAGGTTTCTTTTAGACCTAAAATAAAATTGAGGAATTTCTTTCAGTTGTTATTCTCTGTTAATTATGAAACACTTTCCAAAGAAATCTCAACACTGGAAATACTTGGTTAAGATTAAACTTTAAGATCTCAAATGAGAGTAAAGATTAAATCAACTGAGAGATTCTGGAATATATGTGCAGTGTTGTTTTCCCCAGAATAATAAACTTCCAAATGCAATGCATCTTTCTCATACATTTGTGAGAAAGGCGTTACAGCATTTGTGTTGATTTTTACCATTGTGATTTGTTATAATTACTTTTTGCCTCTTTGTAGACACTATGTGGAGCTGAGAAGTTCGTTTCTGCCCACAGATGAAGCTGTTCTTTTTCTTAGGAATGTTTGGTTGTTTTTTTTTAATAATTAAAATAAATTTTTGTAACTGCAAATTAATACCTGGTATTTTGGAGTCCTAAAGTTTTTTTAAATTGCCAAATCTTTTTAATATCTTGATAATAACTTATCTGGTTAAACTAACTTACGTATGTTTGGTTTTGTATTTACATTTATAGAATATCTGTGTACTCCAGATGCAAATACCAACCTAAATTTATTTATGGACCTAATCATATGTATGTAGGGAATTCAAATCACTACTCCAACAAGTAGTATTTCAAAATTACTACTTGGAGTAGTAATATTGAAATGTATCAGTGCAGTGGTCTTGGTTGATGTTTAGCATATTTCTTCTGTTCCTTGTTTGGAATATCATAAAACAGATTTGACTTTAAACAGCATTTAGGTAAAATAGTTTGCAAAGATATTTTTTCAGTGTCTAGCCCATATACAATACCTAGCCAGCTTTAAAAAATGTGGCTAACCTGCTTGATTGTATTTGGAATACTGCTGAATTGGAATAGATAATATTCTCATTTATGTTTTTAACTGTTATGATTTAATCTGGATTATGAAATAGCTAATTTGTGCCGGCAATAGGCACTGGCAGTGATGTGTAGCCCATAGTTTTGAACTAGCTAGAATCCTTTAGTGTACAGTTTGACGAGTTTCATCTCACCTATTTAGGCTTTTTGGTGGTTTGATACTTGACATCCAAAGGAAAGCACCTTTTTTCTTGAGTGACTTCAAGGATGCATTAAGCCTGCAGTGCCTGGCCTCGATTCTTTTCCTATACTGTGCCTGTATGTCTCCTGTAATCACTTTTGGAGGGCTCCTGGGAGAAGCTACACAAGGCAGAATAGTGAGTACAAAGAATGGTAGTGGCCAGGCTTTTAGACCTTCAGAGGCAAGTCACTGTGTGCATTTGTCTCATTTATTTATACTTGTATTTGAAGAATTTACCCACAGCACTTGATTAGCCTGCCCCAAAGCAGATCTTCCCCAAAAGGTAAATGCTGTGGAAAATGTGGGGAACCCATGTGAACAGGAGAAGATGCACAGTGGAGGTAAAAAATGTTTATCCTGCCTTATTGGATGAATGGCTTGCATTGCCTTCTTTTTGGCTACTTAAAAGTAATGAATAGCAGTAAAGGTGCACCATCCCACTAGGCCTACTTTAGGCAAAGTCAGAGGCTCAAGGTGGATAGCCAAGAACATGTACTGGCCTTGAGTAGTAGGCCTACGAGGATGATAATGCCTGCGGTGTATGGCGAGCAGTTATTGTGTGTTTATGTAACGGACAGGATATGTATGTGCTTGCACTAAAGGTATGTTGGTCGCAATAAAATCAAGTGTCTAAGGTTTATGAGCAGAAAATACTCTTCATTGTAAATGATTTGAATGTGAATCATGTCCTTACAAAATTTTGATAGCGTTATATAACATAATACCAGCACCTTTTTCACCAGAATATCATTGTACTTGAGTTTTTGGAGCAGGGAAAAATTACTTCATATCAGCAATGTTAATAACTTAGTGTCAATTGGCTTATGAGTAAACTAGTTTGAAGTGTATTTTCTGTTTTTAAATCTATCACAAAGAAACAAGGCTTTGTCCTTTCAGGGGAGGGAAGCATATATTCAGACATGTCCTTTACAAATTTTAAGATTCTGGTAAAGCTTATAATGATATAAAATTCTACTTGATACTTAGATGAAGTTTTAAAGCTTGTATTATATTAAAATTCAGTTAACTCTTCTGTCTCTTCCAAATATTTCCGTTGACTCACATTTTTGTTAATTGATGTAGCACTTGAAGCTGATAGAAAATACAGAAATAAATTGTATCTTTTTTGCATGCTGGTATCGCCACTCTAAATGTAGGAATTATTATCAAAATGTCAGTGTAAATTCTGAATTTACACGTATAATTATGAAAATATACTCCTTTTAAAGCTTGATTCTTAAACACCTTCTTTCTTTTAGCTATCTGGAATTGTTTGTGGGTTTGTTCCTGCCTTCAGATACTTGGTGTGCATCATTGAATAAAACATTTAGTTACTGCACACACATGTTCAAGCACAGTAGCTGATACTGTAAGGTACACAGTTTGTCTTTGAAACCTTCCCTCGCATTCTCAGAGGTCATCACGTCCACAGTACTCCTCTCCCTGCTACCCTGACTGAGAGCCCCAAGGTTAATGCATTGACTAACCAAAAGCACTAATTCAAAGGTAATAGAACAAGAGACTGGGATTATATCTTTTTTCCTAATATAATGGACGAAGGATTCATTTTCATTTTTAATAACCCCAGTTCAGCAAACCATTTTGACCATTTTCAGATGCTTTCCTGAATTGGAGCTCAAGATTGCACAGATACTAGGCTTGCATAATTGCATAATAGCAAACGCCTAAAAATTCCATCAGGAACCCTGTAATTCCATTACAGGAATCTGTAGTCCATGACTTCTTATAGTGGTAGGTGGTGTAGTTAAGTATTTTCAAAATTAAATTTAGTATAATTTTAGTATTGAAAATTCCTGCCCCTCCCTTTTGAGGTGCATTTTAACTGGTTTATTTTTTAGCAGATAATGTTACAGTAAAACATTTAATTCAAGAACTGAAGTAGTTATCTTAATTCAGTGAAAGAAATGCATTACCAGGTGGGACATTGGTTTACTGCTCATCTATTTTTGGTGTCATGTATACATAAACCAGTATTGTTCAGTAATTTCCCCTGCACCTCCACCTGTCAGTTTGTTTTTTCTTTTGTAATGCTTGGTTGACTAATGCAGGTTTGATACGGCAGGCCGTATCATGTTTTGGCACAGGTATGTTGCAATATATATATTAATTTTCTTTACAGAGACAGATAATTCTTCCCATAAACTACATGTTCAGTAACTTTTTTTTTTTTTAATTTATGTTTTAAACATATATATAATTGTTGGTATGCTTTTCCTCCATAGCTAGCAGGACTAGTAACTTGTTCTAGTTGGATGGCTTTATGTTTCTCAGGAGTGAAACTTTCAAAATCTTTTGTCCATGGTATTGTTACTGCAAAACTGTGTTAAGTTATTCTTGTCTCAAACATCAATATTAATTGCAATGTTTTTGCATCTTGTCTTGTTTCTAAGTTAATGCGTCTTAAAGCTGTATTTATGCAGATGTGATGCTAAACGTTAACCTGAAAGGCAGCATAGTTACAGCAGTTTCTTTTCCCCCAAACAGAGTGCAATAGAGTCTCTCTTTGGAGCCTCATTAACTGGGATTGCCTATTCTCTCTTTGCGGGGCAACCTCTTACTATCTTGGGAAGCACCGGACCAGTTCTAGTATTTGAAAAAATATTATTTAAATTTTGCAGGTAAGTGATGTTTATATTAGCCCGATGAACTTTTTAACTTTCTAACCTATTAGAATAGCTGTAATTGAAAACATTATGTGCATTAAATGTGTATATGTCTAAGATGATAAATGCAGTGGCAAGAGACTGAGAAATTTATATAGTTTGGGAAAGCTGTGAGGCACTGATGAACCTTAATGAGAAAATCAGTGATAAGAAGTGTTTAGGACTTTAATTAAAGTTATATTCTGAGTGAATGGACATGTTGGTTTTGGTTCTGCAGGGGTAAGCAAGGGTTGATTGGCAGATCAATCCAGGAGAAACTGTCTGGGTAGTTCTGGAGAGATCATCCCTGTGGTGCTTCCCAAGCTAGGTAGTTGCACTGTCAATCCTAGAAACACCTTGCAATGTTGCTTTGCTTTGGTGGAAGACTAGACAAAAAAAGTTTCTGTGTCCTTCAGAGCTAACATCAAGGATGAGAAAAGGGATGAATACCTATTGAACTTGGCCTCAGTATCTGTTTTCAAATAGAATATAGTATTCATGATTTTTGGCTCAGTTAATACTTTTTGTTTCTTTGTTCACACAGGGATTACGATCTTTCCTACCTCTCCCTGCGAACTAGCATTGGTCTGTGGACTGCATTTCTATGCATTGTGCTTGTAGCCACTGATGCCAGCAGCCTTGTGTGCTACATCACTCGTTTTACTGAGGAAGCTTTTGCTGCCCTTATATGCATCATATTTATCTATGAGGCACTGGAAAAGCTTTTTCATTTGGGAGAAGTATATGCCTTCAATATGCACAATGATTTGAATAAACTGACTTTATATTCGTAAGTACCAAGTTTCTATCTGTTAGTGAAATAAGTAGGAAAATATAGAGACATACCATTTACTAACTAGCAATGGGTGCCTCTTCCAGGAAGGGTAGGAGGAATGCTGGGGGTGGTATGGGCATGAGAAACCTCAGAAAAATTCTATTCAGGATGCAGTGGAATTGAATTCTCTGCCTTAGCTATGGGTGGTTGGAAGGGATGAGGGGCCGTGACAAAGCCTGCTTTAACTGCAGCTTTACTAAAGGTCAGAAAAGGAGTTCTGCCTTACTACTTCTAGAAATCAAAGCTTATATTATAGTTTCCTGAAAGAGGAGGAGTTGGATTACGAGCTCACACCTGCCAGAAGGAGATTCTGCTCACCGTTGCTGAGAGAAGCTGCTCATTTCACATAGCTTAAATGAAATCAAAAGTGCAGCTGTTCTTTGATTCATCAGCAACACAAAATTAACTGTTTATCAGTGATCCATATGTTCAAGATCAGTATCAGTAATACAGCAGATAAACCACAATGTGAGAACACTTCAGAAATACTAGTAAGAACCTATACATCTTTAAATTGTCTTCTGTTACTAATCTCCAAAAGTTCTAATTGCACCCACACCAATATTTACCCTCCTGCCCCAGACATGTGGATTACAGTCTCACACACCATCTTTGAGGAGTACAGGTTTCTCTGCTAATGCCCCCCCTCCTGCTGGACATGTACATCCTCCAGTTCTAGTTGTACCTGTGTGGTTACAAAGTGGTGGTGAGGGAGCCCCCAGCGAGGTCATGTCCATACACCTGAGGTGGGGGTTCCTGCTTGTTGCACTGGGCAGTCACTCCCTAGTTGGAGAGCAGAGTACTCACCATTCCACTGGGCAGCTGCTCTGCCTGGCTAAGACAGAGCTCATCTTGCACACAGCGTGACTCCTGGCAAGGTTTTGACTATTGTGTGTCTACTCCAAGATCTCTTCTCACTTTTACAAACACTGATGCTTCTTTGCTACTTTTTTTCAGGATGAAAAGGCAAACACCCTCTCAGACTGCTTCTTGTGTTCTGTTCACACATGACATTTGCACTCACTTTATTGTCTTAACAGCTTTTAAGACCAGGTCCTGTTACCAGGAGTGGGCCATGGAAGTACATTCACTTTCCAATTTCCCTTTATTTACTGGCTGATCATCCCTCTGTTTAAATGGCTCTGGGACCTCACTGGACTCCTATATGAGCATGTTAAATTCACTAATAAGGCAGAAACTGCTCTGTAGGTCTTCTAGCCCTCGCCACCTGATTGTGTTTTGCCACAGGCAGGCCACGAGGGTGGAGAGAAGAAAGTGTGATTTTTCTTTGGTTTGTCTCCATGAGGTATCACGTCTTTCAGGATGTGCCACAGTGTTCAGCTTTGATTTGTCTTGTATTTTTTTTCTATTACAGAGCTGTAGGAGATTCAGCCTTTTACAATTGCTCTTTGTCTCTTTTTTTTTTTTTTCCCCTCTGTACCCCCAATGGTGAAGAGCGTGCAAAACAAGCATGCTTATCTAAGTGAGCCACAAGACAATCTCAATACTCTTACATTTTCTGTTTTTTTTCTTCTTCTCGATTTCCACTTACCTACTTGGTGGCATCCGCTATCTTCATTGCATTTGTTGAGAAATTTCTTTTTTCAGTCTTCCCTTTCAGCATGCTTGTTTATGTTTACTGCCTTGACTAACAACTAAGTATGCTTTGTTTTTTTCTCATCATACTTATGGTTGCAATTCTTTTCTCGTCTGATGATTGTGTTTGCAACTACCTTGTTGAATTACTGCTTTTCAGTCCTCTCCTATTTCCTTATGCTGTTACTGTAGGATTCAGTTAACAAAATATGTTTACTTACTAATTTTTAAGTCCACAAAACATTGTACTTTGCAAATCTAGGTTCTTTCTGCCTTTGCACATTTAGTGGTTTTTTTCCTTCTTTACCTTCACACCATCAAATGCAAATTTGCCCTTCCATGGTTCTTCGGGGTTTTTTTTAGTGTCTTGGTGAATCTCATAGAAAAGGAGACGCATTTCTTCCTTATTACCTGTTTCTTTCTTCTACATAAATGTTTACCTGTTAAGCTTATCATTTGGTGTACTTGAATTTTATTTGAAATCATCCCATTAAATCAAAATTGTGTTTTGGTTTGAGTTTTTTTTATTTTTTTATTTGATGTCTGCTTCTGTCAACCTGTCTGACAGAAGGGTTTCTGGTCCAAGTGTGAAAAAGACTGCAGTAGGGAGGGACACTTTTATTCCTACAAAATTGTTACTAAAAAAAGCATGTATATAGTTGCTTTAAACTCAAGCAGTGTATGCATTTATATCTTCAGTTAGCTCACTGCATACTCAAAAATGGTGTCTTACTTCAGCATGACAGGTTTTGGTCATGTATAGATCAGAAGGCATGCAAATATAAGATAAATGGCTAACAGAGCTTTAGAACAGACAAAAGACTTAGAAACTTCTAGAGACTAGTCACATAGTCTAGTTTGAAAAGGAGTTAAAGGAGTTGTTGAAATGTAGTCATCTACACCAGTTTTTTAAATGAAGTGGTTTCAATATCTCTGTTTCCTCTTATGTTAGTATGCAGTAAGACTAACTGAAGATTCACTCATTGTGGGATGTTATGCAGTATAGAAGTCTAAAAACCTTCATTGGTACACAGTCATAGAAAACTATTTGTGCCAAGTTTGTTGAATTATTTAAAAATAACACAATATTTGTTAGTATAGGGTTGTTGGAAAGTGGAGTCATTTGGATTTTTGTCTTCATCTGTTACTCACAATATGTAGAAGTCCACATATGTTTTGTATTTCATTTTTTTTTCAGGTGCTTCTGTTTTTAAAAACTGGCAGATCAGTCAGATAGTTAAGTCAATATTTTACCTGCTTCTCATTCTTTAAAATACATAGTTTTGGGGGTTTTTTGTACTATTTGTTAAACCTCCTCAGCAGTTGTCTCTTTGATTCTTGATTTCCCCCACCATGCCAGTAGTTCGCATGCTGTTGGAAGGAGGAACCTTGTACTCTGCTTCTTTCATAAAAGGTTGAGATAAACTCCGGCTTAAACTCTTAAGCATTTTTGAATTTACTGCAAATTGCTGCATTTTGGCACATACAGCTTAAAAGCAGGAAAACTATTTTTTTTCTTCCCTTCAGATGTGTGTGTTCTGAGCCTGAGAAACCAAGCAATGAAACATTGCGTGTGTGGAGGAGTATGAATAAGTCTGGGGAAGATATAGCATGGAGCAACCTTACAGTTTCTGTGAGTATCTGAGATCTATATATGTCTCTGTGTGTTTGTATGTATAAAAAATATCTGCACAATACCAGTTTGATTAATATTTTTTCATCTGATTTCTTTTTTTATTTGAACGTGGATTGTTTTCCTTATAACTGTATTTCTGAACCCTCTCATTCCTTCCATGAGGTTTTAAACAGTCATTGTAGAGATTTCAGTGAGTGAGTCCAGGGCAGTAAATGCTAATATTTTAGTAAATGCTAATACTAATGCTACAGTAGTCTGCTTTAGGTAGCCAATTTAACCTGATAGGCAGCACAGTTGTCTTCCTGAAGTACAGATGAATATGATGAGGGGAATAAACAGGAACTTTGTTTCTTCCGTTTCCTGGAAAGGATGAACAAATATTTTTAAGATGGAATCTGCAGTAAAAATGTGGTAGCAAACATGTTACATTAGTTTGTTGGACATTGGTATAACTACAACAGAATCAAAGGAACTACCTAAATATTGATTGGAAGAAAATAATTATTTGAAATTGAAAATAACTGTTTGGAACAAGGTTGAAAGCATTACCTTCTGAAGTGGATTTTATACCAGTATCTGATTTTGTGGGTAGGTGAAGAGGGGATAGTTTCTATGTGGAAGTGCTCTGGGAGGCTTTAGGGAGAAACACTTTTGCTGATTAGTAGTTCCTTGGGTGGTATGAGGTGGACTAAATGCAACTGTGTACAACCACTTTGTGTACCCTGGCATCTTGTTTCCACCTACATCTTTGATTTGGATCTGGTATAAATTTTGTGTTGCATTTGCTAGCTCTGTGTGCCCACTTCAGGCATCTGAGGCTACTAAAGCAGCAGCAGCAATCTGTATATGGGCTCCCATTGTGTCTAAGCCTAGACATTAACACTGAAAGTATGTGTTTTCCACAGCAAAAGTACAATGCTAAAACCTCAGTGCTTTACTTGGGCTTTAGCAGTGCTGTTTTCTGTGTCCCACTAATGACTTCTAGTTTACCATAATCACTTAGAATGGCAGTTTCTCTTGGACTTAGTTTTTATATTTACTTTATTATTTATTTTATATGCCTTTTCATCCTCTGAATCACCTTTAGTCTACCTGAGAGATGGAACTGATCCAGGATTTGGTTGTGCTTGTAATCAAACTACGTTGTTAACAGGAAGAATTCTTGTCATAAGTTACATTTCCAGTGATTACTCCCCTTTAAGACTAGGTTTGGCAGTGCTGTTTCCAACTGTTTGATTTATTGGCTTGTTGATTCCTTGTACCTCCTTGCATCTGCTTTAAATTTTTGCTTTGCATTTCAATAAACCTTTTGGATAGGGATCATCTTACCTTGTTTTCTTTTTTATTCAAATCCATTATTTACCATGCATTTCTACTTTGCCAGAAACTTTTTTCTTATGGTTGGATTAATCTTGTTTTACGAAGTCTGTTTGTTTTCCTTAACTGTATCAGAACAAAATCATCAATAAAGAGGTGGGAGAAACTGAGGAGATGGTCTTTTTATGTCTGTTAGCTTGAAAGTTGATGTTGGATCTTCTGCTTTTCATGGGCTTAGTCCTCAGTCTTTTATTTTATATACATTCTATCTTGCAATGCTTTGAGAAACAGAATAGAAATAATGTGAATGTAAAGGAATTGGGCATCTCCCAACATTTTGGCATCCTGAAATAATCAGTGATGGCTGCTGTGGCTTTTCTGGAACAGACAGCACACATTTTTGGCATTTCAGGGTAGGTAGTGATAAAGGAAAGAACCCCCTTTTTTGGGATTGTGGACGTTCTCAAATGTGTTTTAAATCAAAAAGTTGCAAGCTTGATTGAATATACTAAATGTATAAAACATAGAAAATTAAAGAGTTTTTCTCTTTGCAGGAATGTTTAAAATTTCATGGTGTGTTTCGTGGATCAGCTTGTGGCCATCACGGACCATATATTCCAGATGTTCTCTTCTGGTCTGTCATACTATTCTTTACAACATTTTTCCTCTCCTCTTTCCTTAAGAAATTCAAGACTAAACGCTATTTCCCAACTAAGGTAATTCTGATTAGAGACTATTGTTATCTTGTGATAAATACCTTACTATAACTTAAATTGAAATTTTTATTATGATATTTATTTTAAGACAGAAAAGGAAATTAAACCCCCAAAATTAGCTAATAATTGCAAAAATGAAGACATTAGAGGAAAGAAATTGGCTGCAGAAAATTCAGTTCTTTCTCTGTACTTTGGTATAGTTGTAACAAGATGTTCTAAACATTGGAAGACCTAATCCCCTAAGTTAATGGGAATTGCCAGATATCATTTGGAGAGATAATACTGCTGCTGTTTTTCTCGCTTATCCGTACAAAACAGTTGATTGCTTTCCCCAGACTACTGATGTTTGTAGAGTTCTGAGTGGTTTCTCAGGGGAATGTGTTTTCTAATAGAGGCTAATACGATGATGATCCTTGGACTGATTTACACATTTTCTTGTAGGCAGAATGAAGTGGTTAGATCTTCTGTAAACCTCAGCCTACTCTTGCAAAATGTTCCTTACGTTTAATAAAATTATCTCTGATAATCTGAATGTATTGCAGATTATCTGCCTCCTATCGATTAAAACATCAAATCTATGAATATTGATTTCAGAACTCTTCAGTAATGTTACTGACTTAAGCTACAAGAGACTAGCTGTGATGGCTGAGTCCCCTAGTAGGGTTGAGGGGACAGGAAGATGATGAGGGAGTTATTTTGCCTCTTGCAGTAAACCACTTTTAAATGAGGTAATTGGATGAACAGCATTATGAGGTAGTTGAATGTACAGAATGTTTATCTTATGCAACTTCATATGCTGGCAGGCAGCTTAGTGTGAAAAAACAGAGAAAATATATGTAATGTTCAGTGACATAGTATAATGTAGACAGACTTCACTTTTCATAGGGGAGAAATTGTCTTTCTGTACATGCAAATTGTAATGATGAAAAAACAAGACTTAACACAAGTCTTTCCTTTATAGGTGCGTTCTACCATCAGTGACTTTGCAGTATTTCTGACCATAGTAATCATGGTTTTGATTGACTATTTTATAGGAATACCTTCTCCTAAGCTCCATGTTCCAGAGAAATTTGAAGTAAGAAATAAAACCTTTTGAAAATGCTTGCAGTTTTATAGACAATAAAACAATGGAGTTGTATAGAAACAGAAATGTCTCTTTTTTGCTTACAATGTAGTTGATCAAGTAGTCTCTCAGAAAAGATGGATGTCTCACCTGACAGAAGAGACTGCTTTATACTATAACTGAAAAGGAAGCATTCTTTTGTGCAAATGTACAAATATGAGGGATTGAATGGATTTGTTTTAATTTTTTCCACATAAATGTTATGTTCACTTGTAATAGCTAAATCAGTCTTTTGGTCAAAGCCATTGGAAAAAAATCTGAATGCATATTTAAGAAACTGATCTGTTGTTTGTTGAAGTTGTTTGCAGCAATAAAATCTGCATTCTCTTATAGTCATTTAATTCTTATTGTTGTTGGGGGTTTTTTACAGCCCACCCGAAAAGACCGAGGATGGTTCATAGATCCTCTTGGAAGCAACCCTTGGTGGACACTCTTAGTTGCTGCTGTTCCTGCTTTACTCTGTACTATTCTCATTTTCATGGATCAACAAATAACAGCTGTTATTATAAACAGGAAAGAGCATAAACTGAAGGTAAAGTAATTTTTCTGAAAACCTAGTGTTGTGTAAGTCAAGTTTATTTGAAATAAGATTCATTCTGCAAATTTATGGAACATTAACAGCAGCTACTAAATACATGTTTAAATTGACTAATAAAGAACAAATACAATTTTGTAGACCCTCTCAAAGTATGTAATTTTATAGTTATAGATTATTTACTGGCTGAGTTGGAAATATGGTATCATATAAATAGAAAGTTTATCAAGATATTTGTTTGCTTAATTTTACAGAAAGGCTGTGGTTATCATCTTGATCTGCTGATGGTTGGTGTTATGTTGGGGATATGTTCTCTCATGGGTTTACCATGGTTTGTTGCTGCAACTGTCCTGTCTATAAGTCACGTTAACAGCCTGAAAGTTGAATCTCAGTGCTCAGCACCAGGAGAACAACCAAAGTTTTTGGGAATCCGGGAGCAGCGAGTGACAGGATTGATGATTTTTGTGCTGATGGGGATGTCAGTGTTCATGACCTCTGTGTTAAAGGTAAAAGTTTTTCCAAAATAGTTTCTTTGTGCTTTTGATTTTGATGTTGTGATTTAGCATTTCATAATGTTAGGAAGTTTTATTATGTTAAGTAAAACATGCCTGGACCCATTCTTTAATTTCTTTTTTAGCAACAGATGTTAGTTGAATAGAAACAGTGTGGGAGGATGTAAGAAAACAAAATCTGAGAAAACTAGGAATGTAGTGAGTAGTAAAGAAAGCAACCTTTGTCTGTCATACCTGGTTTTCTTGACAGCTCTTTTTTAGCTTATTGAAGCTATGTTACCCAAAAAACGTAGTTTTTATGTGAGTGCATAAATGGGGAGAGAAAAGGAGTGTGATAAAGATATCAAGTTACTTGAGCAGAAGTAATACAATACAGCAGAAGGAACAAAACTGTCTGGTTTAAAAGGTGATAGTCAGAAATTATATTGTTCACTTGTTCTTATCTTCATCTTATTAAACTTCATTTGATGCTTATAGTGTCAAGATTATCTTATGCATCATCATGGTGTAATAGTGATTTTGCTGGTTGTATTGTAGCTTCAGATTGCACTTTGTCTCTTAATTGATATCCCTAGTGGCCTTTCAAGGACTTTATTGAAAGAAAACTACTCAGTTTGGGTGGCTTTTTGCTCAGATTTTACTAAAAGCTGTTCAACTTCTGCTTAGTTGTTTCAAATCCAGTAGTTAAAAGGAGAAACAAAAGAACTGCTCTTTGTTGCCAGAATATCAGATATTGCATCATTGCTAGTACCTTTATGAACTTTGCAAAAGTCAGATTAAAGGCAGATCATAAGTAATTTCATGAGAAACATAGCTTCTTAAATTTAGATAATGGGAAGGAATAAACCTGTGAACACACAGCTATAGTTTAGTAATTAGAGTTACATATTGTAAATTCTAAAGAATTGGCCATTTGTATGTGTTAAAGAATGTCAAGGTCTGAAAACAATAAGACCGTACTAGTTACTAAAAATAGGTATTCAGAGTTGACAGTCTCTGGTTGAAAAGCTACCAAGAACTTCGCTATATAATGCAAATAATCAGAAACAAAAGCAAAAATAATGAAATAGATTTATTGTTGCTCAAAGGCAAAAGTTAAAAGTGCTGATTGCTGAAGCAAGATGTTTACCCCATGTTAAAACAGCTGATTCTTAGAAACTAACGCTTTTTTAATGGACCTGTGGTAATAGGAATGAAATAATTTCTCTTGTTTTTTATTAAATGTTTTTCTTTTTCAGTGTGAATGACTGTTATTGTTCAAAAGAAGTAAGGAGAACAAAGCCTTGCATCTGTCAGTTGCTGTGCTTTTGTTCCATGTGTGGATTTATACTGATTTAATGCAGTAGAAGTTAAAATATCAAATTATAGAGCTTACAATGAAGACACTAGCCACACCACACATGCAGTAATGAATCCCTAAGGCATAGTTTTATTCCACACTGTTTAATCAAAGCTTGATTAAGTTCAAGTCCAAGCTTGATAGCAGCAGTTTTTATTAAGATTTCAAATTGTACATTGGCTGTCCTTTACTTGAAAGCTTCACTGTAGAGGTTTGATGCAAGTGCCACTGAAATCAGTGGACAACTTTACCTTACTAGGCTTTAAATTATATTAAAGGATAAAATTATTTAATATTAAATTATATAAGATGTATATTATATATTATTATTTAAATTATTATAAATTTTATCTGCAGTAAGCTTTAAATTGATCTTAATGAAGCAAAATTTAGCTCTGAAAAATTAGCAGACTTTCATAGCTCAGCTGGTATGGTGGGGTTTTTGTTTCAACTGCTCCAGAAATGCAAGATAAGTGATCAAAAGTAAGACTTCATATGGTAATTTCATGAAGTTGTGCAGAATCCAGTAGTGTCAATACAGTTCCTATCAAATTGCAACATAAAGCAGTATACTTAGCATGAATAAAAATCTTGGTTGCAACCTAGAAAATTGAATGGATGGGCAGTCAAGATGGAACTGCTTTTTTAATCCTGGGGATAACCTTGTTAGTTCTAGATTTTTTTGCTACCCAGTGATGCATATATTTTCTCTATAAATAAAGGGCCTCAGATTTTACAGATTTCACTTCAGTAAAATATAAAGTAAAAAATAACTTGGTCTGTGTCTTTCTCTGATATGGACTGCTATCTTATGCCGTGTTGATTCCACTTTTAACTGATTGTTTTTTCTTCCCCAGTTTATTCCAATGCCAGTTTTGTATGGTGTATTTCTTTACATGGGAGTATCTTCATTAAAAGGCATTCAGGTAAAATCTGATATTAATGAGCAGTTTGTTTAACACTGACTGAAAAGGAAACTGTAACAGACCACATTATGTGAGCCACAATAATGCTACTCCATATTGTCTGAATAGCGTGTAGGATAATTTCCTGAGTGTCATGATTCTTACAGTATTGTACCTTCACTTTCCAGTTCTTTTTAATTTATTCCTTCAATAGTTTAACCAAGAAACAAATTTTCTGCAATATTCTGGAATTTTTTATTATTAGTGTGAGGGGGGGAACCCAACAAAATAGCCCCCAGTTCCACCTCCTTGAATATTCAGTGTCTTTCATTAGTGTTTTATTTGGAATTAGCTCACCTTTGTGGAGTCCCATAAAAATGTTTATTTTCTTTCGGAGAGACATAAAATCATTAACTGAAGGATGATTTCATTTTCCGTGCAGTTTTTTGACCGTATAAAACTGTTTGGAATGCCTGCCAAACATCAACCTGACTTGATTTATCTACGTTATGTGCCACTCTGGAAGGTTCATATCTTTACAGTCATTCAACTCACTTGTCTAGTTCTGTTGTGGGTGATTAAAGCCTCTGCAGCTGCTGTTGTTTTCCCTATGATGGTAAGTTTTCTTTTTTACAAGTTAGTAATTTTACAAGAGTATGTGATTTATCCAGAATCTCTTCAAAAGATGTTTGTTGCTATAAGAAAGAAAGGAGTGGGAAAGAAACCAAAAACCCCTCTGAAACACAAAGACTTTTCATTTCCTGAAAATAAGCAGTTCAATTGTGAGTAGCTATTGAAAGTGGAAGTTATTTAACTTTGTGGTAAGATAAAACTAGTAGTAGAAAAAAGGGCTTCAACTACAGATTGAGTGTACTGAAAGCGTGTGTGAATTTTTGTTCATTTAAATAGTTAAATATAAATAATTTCATTTGTGGTTCCTTTAAGGTTCTAGCTTTAGTGTTTATTCGCAAGCTCATGGATTTATGTTTCACCAAAAGAGAGCTTAGTTGGCTTGATGATCTTATGCCAGAAAGTAAAAAGAAGAAAGAAGATGACAAAAAGATAAAAGAGAAAGAAGTAAGTGTGAAAACAATCAAACTAAGCATGTTGTAAATTACTAGGAGATAATAAGATGAAAAAGAATTTTAAGTGACTGGAGCATATGGCCTTATATACCAAATATACATTTTGAAATTCCTTACTAATGAGATTTAGTTCTAGAGGAACTATTGCTGACAGTTAAGGAATTAAGTCACTGTTTCAATTATGCTATTATGGACTGTGATTCTTATTTGTGATGAAAATTACCAAGCAAAGTGGAAAGAAGCAGTAGTTAACACAAAAATGTTGAGGTTTTTGTCTTTCATCAGATTAGAAGGAGAGAAAAAGGAAGGGGAGATGGAAGTGGTGGAGTAGGGTTCCTTATCCTGCTTAAATTCACCGCAGAACTGTTCATAGTATCAGGGATATGGTGCTTGTGTGTGTGTGTGTTTTCATTAAAAGCAACTGCGAGTTACCAGTAATATAGTAATACAGCTTGTGTAACTTCTCCATAAAAGTCCAGCCTTGCTGTACATCACCTAGCTGAATTCCTTACAAAGCTTGTAACACCCTCCTTCCCCATTCTCCCGTCTCCCTTGCCTGAATAAAACACTTCTAAGAGAAAAGGTCATAAGCTTTTTCTCCTGCATGCAACTCCGATACCTTATCCGAATGGAATAACTGTCAGTGTGAGATACTTTGGTTTCTGCTGCATGACTAATTTTACAAACTTCTTACTTGGAATTTACAGGAAGCAGAGAGAATGCTTTCAGACAATGAAAGCGTACACCTTGCATATGGAGAAGCAAGTTTGAATTTTCCTGTAAAAACGCTGAAATGCAGGTATAATAAAATGTTGGTCTTTTAAAAGTTTTTGTATCACATGGTGTAATTTGCTTTATATTAAGTTGGTATGGGTTGAATTAATTTTTTTTCCTCTCAAGCTTGTAACTTAGCCATGATTAGGAATTATGAAGGTATATCTCATGATGCTACAGTAGTATTTTTATGTTGCATTGTTCTTTAAAACTGCATCTTAATTATAAATTTACATGACCATCTTGAACAGATCAGATGACTCAATTTCGACCAGCTGTACTAAAGGTGAAGAAGCATCCTTGGTCAGTTTTTATGGAATATTTGTGTGCTACTGTGCATGAAATACTGAGCATTAAGCAACTAATAGCATCAGTTGAGCCATGTGTTTACCAGCCACTTGGATTTTTCAGACAGTCTAAGTGTGTAATTCTTTGGTTTACTTCAGTGAGGTCTAAAGTCAGTAACTTTTATGGTGCAAAAACCCCTTTTTACAGGCAACCATTTTTACTTTAGTAAAAGGTCATTTTCTGAAAGTAAATATGAGGACAGGTTCTTTTCCAGAAAAGGGAGTGCTGGAATTTCACTGATGGAAATTCCTTCAGCTTTGGAAGGCATTTTGTCTTAGTGTGTCTCTCCCTTACTGGGGGTTGTATTTAACTGAGTTGTCAAGTATTCTACAACTGTTCCAACACACTCTGAAGATGTGACAGATAAGTAGCTTCTTTTCCTCTCTGAGGGTTCCTGGGTTAAAAATTGGCCTTCCTATGAATCTAGGGTAGTGTCAGGTCTACCTTGATGTGAGTTGGGAACAGGCAGAAGTTATTCCTGATGAGTATTACTCGGAAAGCAGGCTTAATCAGACTGTAGCAACTCAAATGAAAATACTAAATGCTAAAGCTTTTTTAAAAAACAATTGACTTGCTAATTGCTCTCACAGTAGAACTATGATTTCATCAGCTGTGTGTGTGTGTTTACTATGTATTCTGCTGCCTTGTATCTTATGGGGATTCCTGAGAAAAAATGGCTTTGAAAAATTTCTTTGCCGTTTGAAAAACTTTTACAGATAACCTGGAGTAGACTGTGAAGCTTAAGTATGGAACAGGACAGAAAACATACCTACAGGCAACACCTAAGTCCACTGTACATGTAAATGTGTGGAGGACAAAAGTGGAAATAGATTTTAAAAACTTACCATCTCTGAGGGTGAACTTCTACAGGACTTGGGAGGAGGGTGGTCTGGCAAAAGAACCTTGAAAAATGTCTAGTAAGGCTTTGCTGGAAAAAAACCAAACCTTGAAATCTGTCTAGATAATTGTAATTTCTGGATTTTTAGTAGTTTTAACTCTCACCTGAGATACCAGTTTTGAAAGTTTATTAACATTTGCTTCTTTGCTCTTGATTATTTCCTGGAAGCCACCTAAAGTAACTGGTTTATGAAAACCTTAGCAGAACAGTGTGATTAAATTCATTATTTCTGAGCATAGGAGTTATCTCTCAAATATTCTCAATGTCTTAGTGGTATCTATGTGAAAAACTCTTTCAAGATGATGTGTGGTTATGGTAGTGCTAGTGAGTTAAATTTTCAATTTTTTGTTGAAATACATTTTTGAGAGATGAACTCAACTTGTGGCTGTGTAAATATTGAGAAAAGGCACAACTGATGTAAATGATGAGTGACAGTAAGTATAATACTTTTGCAAGGAATTGAATACTAACCAGAAAGTATGTTTGTTCTTTAGCATTGATCCCTCAGTTGTAAACATATCAGACGAAATGGCCAAAACTGCACAGTGGAAGGCTCTTTCCATGAGTACTGAGAATGCCAAAGTAACCAGAGCTAACCTGAGGTAGCTATAATTACTCACATGTTTTCTAACTGTGGTCTTGTGTTTAGCAGCTGTACTTGTATTTCTTGAAATGTATATCAAAAAAATGAATGTATGTGGTTTGTAATGAGTTACTGACTTTTAGTTTAGAGGAACTTGAATTCAAACTTAATTTTTCTTCATTATGAAGTTTATCAATTTCTATAAGGAATTATTTAATTAAATGTATTATTTTAAATAGTAATTTTGAAATTACTCTTTATTTGCTTAATACAAGTGTTTACTGCTCTGATGGGCTTAGGGTTTCTAAATACTAGAGTGTATATGAGCATGGGAGTGGTTTGATCCTCAACATTACAAATTCGACTGGGAATAATGGTAAGTCACTTTGATTGTTGCTTTATGCTGCCTAGGATCTGCCTTAGGGTTTTGTGGGTGGGTTGCTTGATTCATTTTCCTCAACTCATTTTTAATATTATAAAAATTAAACCTGTCTCAAATACTACCTTCACTAAGTATAAAATATATTTGAATGAGGTACTGGACAGATCAGGAGTTCAGTTCCCTGTGAGCTGATGGGCATCTTCTGTACTGATTGGGAGCCTTTTTCTCAGTGAAGTCCCTGTCATACAACCAACTCTGGGTGCAATGAATCATTCTGCTCTTCTGTCCTAGTTTCTTTCCTGTCTGGCCAAATCTATCAAGGGAAATAAACCAAAACCTGAATATGTGGAATATCCTCAACTTCCTGAAAGGCTTGTATTTTATAGGGACTGGTATCTGTGAACTGTTCCATCACAATGCAACTATTGCTTAGTAGTTTTTATGTAGGAAAGAAGGGAGAATGGGCATGGTTGCCTTGGAACACTAAGCTTATGCAATCCTGTTGTCTACGCATCTCTCTTGGTTGATCCCTTTCAGCCAATTCTGTCAAAGGAAGGCATGTTTCAAAGATAAGAAATTGTCAGATTTTGTATAAAATTACATCTTGGTGGAGGAGTTCATGGTGAGAAGGGAGTGTTCATATGTAACTGTGCAAGCTATCTCAGGTGCCATTGAGCTTGCATCATGGAAACAGTAGAAGTGAGTGGCCACTTAGCACTTTTGTACCATCTGACTATTCAACACGTGTGTTGCTCCAAATTAGGCATGGAAATACGGCTTTGCTTTGGCCAGACAGCAGGTCAGCCAAGGGTGAAGAGGAAAAGCTGAAGAGACTTGTGAGTGCAGGCACCATTTCGAGTGAACCTCTAGCCTGTATTTGTTTAAACACTTTTAAAATGTTTAATTTCGTGTTTAATTGAAACATTTTTAAAACTTGAGTACTACACGAACAAGACTGTCAGGAAGACAAATAATAGAGGCATTAGATAACAGAGCATATCTATCAGTCTACCCTCTTCTTTTAATTGTTTTCTTTCATGCTAAATTCTCAGAAATCTGTTACAGAATTTGTGGATGGTTCTAGTACCTTATCTGATAGTTGTTGGGTGTATAAGGCTTGAAGAGATACAGACCTGTGTTTCTCTTTCCAGAAGAATTAAAATTTTGGTTTTTAGGTAGTTACAAGTTAGGAAAGCACAAGATGGAGTTGTACTGTTTCCTGAGTAAGTTAAGTTAGTATAGAATTATATGCAGCACTAGCAAATCAGGCTTCTGACAAGTTTGCAATGTTTTTTGATTACTAAGCATGTATTCATTATTCCATCCATTTGTTATATTTTGCTATTAGCCATTTCCCTTTTATTCCATAACATGCCCTGCTTGAGCTTAGTACAGTAAAAATTCCATCTTGGTAGAGAACTTCCTAAAACTATAAATTGAAAATAAAAAACTGATGCCAGAAACCAGCTCTTTCAAGAGGCAATCTGATATTGCATCAATCTAGAAAATGTTAAAAGGCAGGACTTCCTTGAGCCTTAACTCAGTTGCTGTTTTGAGATATTTGCTACACTTTCTTGTCTAGTGGGTGCTGTCAAGATTTAGAGATGTCACTACTGCTCAGTCAAAAGTAATTACCAGTAAATTATTCATCTCAGTTCTGTTAAGGTTTTTCTGTGTAGCAGTCTTCATTTCTTGGTATGGACAGATATTCAGTGCTGTGGTAAAAATGGTTCTGTAGGCAGTGCTATTTTCAGATTTATCAGTTTCAAATACTAATGCAAGCATGTCTTTTATAATTCCAGAGGACATGTTGTGTGGGTTGACATTATTTATTAAAAATAATATATTTAAAAGAAAATACATTTCTTCTTTTTTTTTTCTGGTTCTGAACTGTTTCAGATTGCTTTTTCTTTCTCCCTCAACCATCTGTCATAGTTTACAGACTCTGTGGAGTCTGCAAACACTTGCATTTTCCAAGGAGTCCCAGAATTTTTCTCTTTGTATGAATTTTTAATACATTTTTTTCCTTAGAGAGCAACTTTACAGATGTGTCATCTCTTCTAATACTCATGCCTCGAGAATCCTTCCTCTTATGCTCTTTCATTTTATCTTCTACTGTCCTGCAATTACCTTGGGACGTTCCTTTTTGTCCTTGAATAAGGCACCGTTCAATGGCTGCGTCCCTAAGAGGATCAGTTGTTCAGGTGCCAGCCAACCACTTGTCTTTAGGGTCTTCCACTTCACTTGAATGGACACTTATGCAGGTTTCTAACTGTCCTCTACTGTTGTTGCAAGTGTGGTTCTCCCTTTTGAAAAGACCTAAATGTTTTCCCAGTCTTGTACTACGAACAAAATCGTTTCCCTGTCCAAGAATAAAGCAGTGTTAGTAATATTGCTTGTTAAGTATTTTTGAGTATTTTTAACTAGACGATTTTGCAGGTTGCTGTGTTGTTGGTTTTTTTCTTTTTAAAGATGTTTTGCCAAACAGCTTCAAATCAATAATAGCAGTGGGATTGGAAATGGTATTTATGGATGAGAGATTGGCATTTTCTCTCTTTAGGCTTGTACTGTTCTTGTGAATAGCATTTAACAATTACTAAAATTTCATAGAATTGCATCATGAAAGTGTCTCTATGTAAATACTTCTAGTGTTCTGTGTAAAGTATAAAATGTTTGAAAGTGAACCAAACCTTACATTTTCCTCTTTGTTTTTGAACAGCCCTGAAAAACCAGAAAGTGTGAAAATAGAAGTGGAAAAATCACCTGTTGTGAAATATGTGGATGCTGAAACATCTTTATAGAACGGAACCAAGAGGAATTGTGTGTATTTGTGTGTGTATATATGTATCACTGTAGGATATTATACCATGGAAGTGTGATTTCCAATTTAAGGAGCAACATATATTTAATTCTGCCATTGTCTAGGGCACTGTAGATATGCTTGCGTAATGCGAAGATTTTTCCAATAAGTAAGAGGAGTGGTAATCACACTTCAGCTATTTATTTTATTGGGAATTTTATTTTAATTTTTAAATAGGAAGACTGTAATGAATGCTTATTTTTTTCAATAATCAATATGTGCATAAAAGTTGCATCAGCTTTTGCTGATGGTTACTGGTCCACATGGCTTAAAGTTTTGCAATACCTCTGTTTATAATGTGCGCTACGGAAGTTTGTTTTCCATGCAGGCAATTAGTGCTTGTTTTTTGCAGGGTATACTTTTTTTTGTGGTTTCATAGAACAAATATTAATGTGCTGTTGACAAGAACTGCTGTGGTTTATGTCTCCACTCCATGCTAGTGTTTTCTGGAATCTATCTCTCCTATTCTACAGAAGTGGCCTAGAGCCCTAAGTCAGATGGTTAGTTAAGCCTTAAAATATATCTAAATACCCTGTTTTCCTGCTTTCCCCCTTTTTTTTTTTTTTTAATTGTGTCTTGGCTTTTCATTATTGTCCAGTAGCAGTATGAGTGCAGTAATTGTAGTTAGATCCCCAAGTCAGTATTTGCCATTCTGGACACTCCATGTTTACACAATATAATTTGAAATTACAGGCAGCAATTTGGTCTCTACAAAGTTATACATACTTACCACAACAGTACTCTTGAATTCTTTTCTTCTGGTTTTTACTTGCAATTTTTTCTATTAACTTGCAGAGTCTGATTTACTTCGCTCTAAGAATGAAATACTCTAAAAGTTTCATGTCTTCATCAAATATATTTCTTGGGTTTTAAATTTACTGTGTATTTGATTAAATTAGCTGTAGTTTAATTCTGGAATAGGTTTATGATCAGTATTATTTTATGGATTACTAATTGCTTGTGGTATTTGTGTGTACAGTTCTGATCCTCTCCATTGTAAAGGGCATATATGATATCACACCAACTTATTTTTAAACATTTTATTTATTTTAATTAGTATAAATTTTTATCATGTACAATGAATTGAAGAAATAAATATTCATTTATTAAAGTAAATGGGATTTTTGGGGGGCTCTACTGATAAAGATACAGTCAGTGTGCATTTATTATACTTAACATTTTCAAGTTCTAGAGTTTAGCACTATAATATTTGAAATAATGAGAATTTTATATATAAATGAAAATCTTGATCAATTACCTGCGCAGTTTCCATTGTTAATACTTTTTGCCTTATACCTTAGGGGGTTTTTTTGTATTTACTTTCCATCTCTTTACATTCTGTATTGCCACTAGACCTTTCTGGATGTATTGCAATGACTTTAATTAGAATCTGTGCTAATTTAAAATTAGAAGATGCTGTTTGCTGTTAAGCAAACTGTTGGCAAAATTGGGAGTTTTATCATGGACCAGTTGAGGTGGTCCAGTAAAAGGAGCTGATTCTGGAGGAAGGCAGACTTTATCTGAAAATACCACTTGAGGTGGAATTTTTGTGCACTTCAGCCAAGTGTCATCTCAAGAGAAGGTAATTGTATATTACAAAAATAAAGCAATCAGTGGGAATAAATAGAAACATTTAAAAATAGCATTTACATTACACGGACTGTTACTGTTCCCTTTAAATGTAATGTAATTATTTAACATTTTTCTTCCTTTTTTTTTTTTCCTTTTTTCATTTGACTGAATTCCAAGAAGACAGTTTAAAGAAAGGAAGTTGTAGTGTACAGCAGTATGAATAATGGTATCCAAACTGTCATAACAAAGGCTCAGGTCAGTGGCAAAGCAAGTGAGGCCTGCATTAGCAGTTTGACCAATACTGTGTAATGACCGGTGTTCTTAGATAGTAGTGTAGCTTGTGCCTTAGTTTGAGTTTGTGCTCTTTTAGAAAATAACCCATGTTTTCCCTCTGATCAAACTGAGATACAGTGAAACTACAGCAGATGGTTTCCCAAAACTTTCTACATTATTTAAAAGAATAAAAAGCACATATCTGCATGTCAGTTGTTGACTACTAAGTAGCTCTTGCTGAATCGAAGAGAGAAGATATTTTGAGCATTTTAGGTAACATCGTCCACAACACATTACTTTTGTTCTAGTCCTCCCAGTAGTATTTTACACTTAATGTTCAGAGTCCTGCAACAGTTTCCAAAGACACAAAAAATTACTATAAGCCTCTTGGATTTCTAACTCTTTAATGCTGGAAATCAGGGTTCTGTGGTGCTGCACACCTTGTATCTGGCTTCTACTTTGGGAAGGTTTTAAGTTTAGGTCAATATTACAGGAAGTGGATATATTTCTAGTAAAGTAGAAAGGAAACAAAACCAAAGCCCACAAGTCTAATCACAGTATTTATTTATTGTGTAGATATTTTAATCAGTGCCAGAAAGACCATAACTTGGCAAACCAGTTTACAGTAATCTTTAGTTCCAGTATTCCTAGGCAGTAGTAGCACGTTATACTTGCACTTTTTCCCCATATGAACAGGAGAAGATCTGGTATTAAGTGCATAAATCTCTATTGATAATCCATGGTTAAGTGATTCGCTGCTCATTTTACACCTTCTCTGCTTTAAAATCACGCATGGTATTAAAATGAAATGGCTAAGGATGTAGTTTCTATTTTAGATATACATTTTGCCTTAATGGATGCAAAAGAGCAGTGATAATTGCTGTGCACTGATTTTTTTCATAGGGTTTAAACCCTGTAAAAACTACACCAATGTATTTCCATTCCAACAGTCAGAGAAAAATAAACAACCCTGCACTTTTTTTAGATGCCTTGGTTTCCTGGAATGGAGCTTAGTGCTACTGTGTACCTGGCTGCAGAGCCACCTCAGGAAGTCCCCCTTTTTTTTTTCCCCCCTTCTTCTTTTTTCATTTTTTTCTTTTCTTTTTTTTCTAATTTATTTAAAAATATGAATGTTTACATGAAGTGTAGGTCTTAATTTTGACCACTCCATTTAAATTATCATCTAAAATGTATCACTTAAAATGCAGTTTCATGTTTAAATTATATTCTAGACAAGTCATTCTTACTGTTTTCATATGTGTTACAGTGACATGTTTCTCATTCTGTTTACATATGCCCAAGTTAATGACAGTTTCTTCCTAGATTAATTTTGCAGTTATAACATAATATTTTAAAAATTTTTCCGTGAAATGTTCCAAATTGCCAAGTTTGTCATCATAAAAACTTTTAGGGTAGAATTTGGTGCCCTAATGGTGTTTTTTTCCAACCAAGTATCTTGGCCATTTTTTCCACATTTAATGAACGTTCTCCCATAAGTTATCATTTGTTTCATTCACTTGCATCTCTGTCTGTATACAGTAACTTCCTAAAGGCAGGTTCGACAGGCTGTAGAATATATCTGTAACAAATAGTTGTCACATCACAGAGCCTGCACCATTCTAAAGGGTTTGTCTTGTACATATGTTCTGTAAATCATAAGGTAAATGGTTCATGACTTTCAGTTCACAAATTTAGTCTGTCAGATGAGCACCACAGTGAGCTTAGTTTTCTTTTTGCTTTTTTATGATTAGTAATGTTTTAATTACTCATCTAGGACAAAATTATCAAGTACAGTACAAATGTGTGAAATATTTTCTTTATACCAACAGTAATTTATTTTATGGCAAATTTTAAGACTATAGAGACACACAGCTTTGAGTCAGCATAAATGTAGTGCTATAAATAAAGCAAATTGCTCAGTAAGTTTAAGTCGATTTTATTTTATAATGTTTTTAGTGAAAACCTCTAGAACTTTGTAGTTGGCATTGAAGTTAACCTAAAGACACTTTCATATTGAATTTAGTATCTGTTGACATTTATTTGGAATAATGAATAAGTTTGAAAATGGATACTTTTCTAAATTATTTTATTGGAGAGACACATCATTTATAGTATTTTCTTTTCTATCGTTGCTGATGGTCCTGTGCAAAAGTGTCTTCCAGGTTCGGCTTCTGCAGCTGAACTGAGGTTTTGATTTTAATACTCTTTATTTGAAATGTGATTACATACTGTACGGTTTGAATTTTTTACAACTGCTTTTCTAATTACAGTGACGTTTTCTTACTTTATAACCAAATCCAAAGCAAACGAAAACATTATTCCAGCTGTAGAATCAAAATTCAGTTTATACAGAAAACACAACTCTCAGACTTGTCTTTAATGTGAAAGATTCAGCCTTTGTGTTAATTACTGCTAGAATAAAATTATCTTTTGTAACATTTCAGAAAGTTGGTAAAAGCAATAAAAAAATCTCCTGGACTCTATTCAGGCCGTTTCTGTTTTTATTGCCCGGGACCAGGGGCCTGGAGGTGCCGGGATCTGACCCTACGGGGAGGGTTCGGCCATGGCGTCCCCGTGCCCATGGCAACGGCGCCGGGCGGAAGCGGTAACCAGCGTCCCGCCGGGCTGCGGAGCACGACGGCTCGCGATAG